GCTTATAAAATGCTTAAATATTCTTGTGCTGCTTGTTGTAATATTTGACACCATTTGTTAAATGGTCGAATCAATTTGGTTTTGTTTTCTTCACAGAGAATAAGAGTACTGCGTACCGTAAACCTTTAAACAAGTACCAACGCTATTCATTCCTTCGCATATCACTTGGCAGGACTAATGTGTTGCCTCCTGTTTGACCGAATTTCAATATAGCTAGATGGTTATCGCGAAACTACTTAACAATTTGGACTACATGTTCTTTGACGTCTGGTATTTGTAAGTCTTTGCACAGTAAATTCAAAATCTGTGCAGAGCAGTCATAAGTTATAAATTTGAAGTAGATCTTTAAACAATCACCAACGCTATTCCATCGCACATCACTTGGAAGGACTAATGGACTAAGTTATAAATTTTGAGTCCGTTTTTTCCTCCAAAGGTTTTTCGCATGGGGGCCATATTTGCTGCGTTATCTGTCACAAATACTTCAGTACTTCAGTCAAATATTATGAAGTATAAGCTTTTCCCGAAGTATCAATAGTTTCGCAAAGAAGCAATCGTGTATCTTCAGTTGTTGTTGCACATATAACTGGCTCACCCGTCAATGGACATATTCACACATTGTCTTGATAGAGAACAAAATCATTTAACATTTTGCTCCTCGTAGATGTTATTTAAAAGGCTTGTTGATAACATTTCTTTTATGGCGGCGTATAACCAGGTCTTAAAAAAAGGAAATATCATTTTTTACTTCAATATTTTCAGTTTTTTTTTTCCTTTGTTTGAATATCTTGTTTGGACTTTTGCGGAGATTTCGACAAATCTGTCTAATCAGATCTATATAATTGTCAAGCGACATTTATACCATTGTTAATAAATGATAAACCAAACGCGCCCAATTTTCCTTTAAAAAATTAGTAAAAGGTTTATTCAAATTTATTAAATTATACGGTTATCTTTTTAAAAATACGTTGAAAATAGTGTAGATTCTTTATTATATTATAATTATTTATTAATATTATTTATCCACTTGTATTCTGTATCTACCAGATTTTAAAAACCACTCTACATCCAGATTTATTTCGATCTGTTGTTTTAATGTAAAACTGCTATATGCCAGATTCTTTTCCTCCAGACATTTAAATGTTTTCACCAAATGCTTTAATTTCCACTAGTTCCACTCCTTTGACAAACCACCAACTAAGACGTATTTGACAACGACCATTTGTAGATCGGGAAAAAACAGGTTGCGACTTAGTGTGTATATTGTGTTTGTAAGGGACCAATCGATGCAGAAAAAACAAATTTTTTAGTAAGACATCCTGGGAGCCATAGATAAAGCAAATCTAAATATCAATTTCTTGTGTTTTAATTACTACACAAACGTTTACAATACTCAAAAATTGTTACGAGTTAATTTTAAATTATTGAAATTTAAAAAAAAAAAAGAAAAAATAACGGAACCTATCACGAATTTTCTCAGGAATATAAGAATAATTATAGCTGACAATCCGTTTAAAATGAGGAAGTGAATGGCTACTTCGGTACAACCGAAAGTGCCTTGAAAATAGGAAGAGAATCTTGAATAACCCTGAGGTACAAAAAGATTTTGTTTTTCTAACAACGAACACTTTTAATGACCGACGACCGTAAGAAAAGTTTGCTTTCGTTTTCATAGTGTCGCAACGTTTTCATCACGGACTCGCGTACTCAAAATATTCTTATATTTGATGCAAAAATATAGATATGTATATTGTTACGAAATTTGCCAGAATGCAGGCAGATCAAAAAGATTAAGATACGTAGCTGCTTTCATTAATAACATAACCCCACTTATCACTTAGGAAAAAATTGTATTATCAGTTTTTTATAGTTAACTAAACCACGATAATGTATAATGCATGTGATAATTATTCCAATCTCAAGACGAATGGTCGGATATTGTCGCAGCATGTTTATTGACACGAAAATAAACGATAAGATTGATAAATACAGAACATATATGGATAGAATAGATAGAATTTTTCTATCTCCATGTAAATACCAATTGTATTTGATGTTATAGCAGAGTCCTTTTAGATGTTGAAGTTATAGTTTGAAATTATCTCAGACATGATTACTTGATTTACTTAATATTACATATTGTCTTTTCTTTATTTTAACAAAGTAATTTGAAGACATATCTTGACTGTAGAAGGTGTCCAATTTTCGAAACAGTAAGGAATATGATATGGCGTCCATAAAAAAACCTCCACGAAAACGAAATGCCGTATACTTCGAAGTAATATTTTTAGAATAGCCTGAACACTATTGGATATAAGTCTGGGCTACGAGGTGGAACCTTGTTACTTTCGAAAAATCGATAAAATCGAATATTTCGAAAGTATACGGGCTTGGCAACGAAACTTGTATCTCGTCAACGGTGGGTCCTAGGGGACCGCCATTGGTACAGAAATAATCAGCGTCGAAAAAAAAAACTTTTTTTTTCTGTTCCCCGGTCTCCGTTTCTCTGTAGACCTTGCATTAATTGGCTATATCTTTTGAACGGTTTGCAACACGGCCTTCAAATTTGGTCCCTTTTAAGTCGTCCACGAGATACACAAACCAGTAAAAACTTATCAAACCAAGGCGTCCATCTTTTTTTTTTTTAGATTTTCAGCTGTTTTTTGGACATTCCTATGAAACACGATAATTGTCTGAAATTTGAAGCCATCCACTTAAAATTTGACAAATGCATAGGGCGTAGCTCCGTAACGAAGTCTATTGAAACTGGGCGGGCTGGGGGGTTGGGAAGTATTTTTAAAAATTTAAAAACTGCAGGGTGTCGAGAAAAAAATCATTTCTACGGAGCTTTATTCTTGATGATGGTGCGTCGGTAATTTACAAAAAACTGAAAATTGAGCTCCTTTATATAGATAATTGACCATAACTAGAAGGCTGTGATTCTGTAGTCAGTTTCTTTCACATTTCAATATAGCCCGTATGGACAGCTAAAACTTTTTTAAGGTTTTCACATATTTTACAGGGTGTTCGGAATATTTTGTCCTATTCTAAAACGCCATGGGTGTCTCAAATATGTAGTCATCGACTTCAAATTTGGCAAGGAAGTAAAAGTCCGTACGCACATCTAAACAGTAGAAATTGAGCGTAATAAAATGTCACCAAATATATATTTTTTTAATTTTGAAAATTTTTCTTTGATTATTTTGTCTTCCAGAAAAACGTGATTTTTTCACAAACTATTGAACCGATCGGCAAAATTTTAGAGCCAGAAAATGCGGTAGATCCGGCGCTATGACTTTTATTTTAGGCATTTTTTCGATTTTATATATAGGGCTTTTCAATTGTGGACAAAAATCTAAAAGACCTTGAAAATTGTACTTTTTGGGAATAAATTATTAACCGCAAATCATAATTCGTAAAAAATATGGTCAATCGGTTCAAACAGGGTTATAGACCGCATGAAGAGCCACAATTTTTGTATTTCCGGAGATATTTGAAAAAATCCAAATGAAAATCACAATTTCTCGCCTTCATTCGAGACGCGATGAAGTAATTGACTATTACGGCGGACTGCATAGTTTCTGAAAGAAAACCATTTACTCCATTGATAAAATTGTTGGACCAGGAAATGTTTGAGATCCAAGGGCGATCCTCTATTTGCGGCATTTTTTCAATTATGTATACGATGTGTCGATTATAATAGTTCCTAGAAATTTCCGCTTTTGTGGGTGAATTATTGGCGATACATGAAAAACTTTTAAAGATGTGATAATTTGATATGAGGTATCGTAAACTGTGTTGAGAGTTTGAGGTTTTGTCTATAATACAGGGGACGCAAGATATTTGAAAAAATATAATTTTAAATTGCAATTACCAGTACAAATTTTGATATTTACCGAAGTTTGCCTTAAATTTGAAGTTCGACGAGATGTGAAGGACACTTAATACAGGGTCTATTCACAATCAAATTACATCGATTTTGCGAAAGTTTCATAGTGGTCCGCAGGAACACCATAGAAAAACATTGCGTCCCTACAAGAATCCGCGAAGCGCCTTCTTTTTAAAATAAAAAGCTGATCCGCGCTATTTGCGACGAGCTTGCCCCGCTCACCAACGATTTTTCGAGAGCAATCTTATTTAAAATGAAGATGTCTCATTCATAGACACGTGTCGAATAGCTTACTTCAGAACATATTCCTCGCAGAATACTTTTGAACCTAATCACCTAATGACTTCTTTGTAGATGTAATACATTCATAAAGTCGTTCTCCAGTTCTGCTACCCCGACTATGTGGATCCAGTTTCATCTCTGAACAAAACTCTCTTAATGTCATCCACAGTCCAGTGTACATGTTCTTTAGCGAATCTTAATTTGCGTGTTCTGTCATTTGCAGTAAGTAGCGGCGCAGTAGCAGGCCTTCAACTAGGCAATCCGACTTCTTTTAATCTTCCTAACGGTTAACGCAGAAATCCTGACATTTCCAGCAGTTTCCAGTTGATTATTTCGCTCTCTACTGGTAGACATTTTGTTTTGGTAAATCAATATGATTTGCCCTTTCCTATCCTGACAACGTTTTCTATGCTGTGTTCCAGTTTCCCTAAATCTTGTGATTATTCGACTAATTTTTGAATGATTAACACTTAATACATTGGCCACATACTTCTTCCCCCTTTATGTTTTCGTAATGAAGTTGTTAAATAGTGACGTAATTCACACAAAATTATAACCAACATCCAAACAGAAATTTCAAATGAAGTAGTAAAAAAATACGCCAAGGAAGCACGTAACTTTTTTAATTTAATTAAATAGTGATAAAAATAGTACAAACCTATTTTGACTAATTTTGACTTTGAGAACTAAGATTTCTAACAGTGAATGTAAGTGGTGCGTTTGAACAGGAGTTTATTTGCATTAGAGAGAAACAAAAGATAAAATAAGCATTGTTTGATAACGGGAAACAATAAATTCAAATAATGTAGTTTTGTTTTGTCGACCACAGATGCATAGTTCGGCACTGAGTCAAGAAGTGGAAGATGACGCGAACGAGGCGGAAGTATTAGTAGGCGTGGCCACACTCGTAACGGAGGGCCGCGTCCCGGGTCAGCCGGTGTCCCCCGGAAACTGCAAAACGAAGGGATTCCACGAAGGTCCTCACTGCGCCCCCCAAAAAACACCGAAACCGCCACACGAGTGCAATCGAACGAACCCATTGGTACGTTCATTTAATTTTTAATGCCACCAAAGACTGTTAAATTGGTCTGTTCCAGTGTCGGCAATTCCAGGACCATCGCGACACTATTTTGAGGCTGTGCAAGAAGGGCGCACCGCTCTGCGTCGAAGTTATCGTTACGTGTCCGTGCAATGAGGGGGACACTTTAGACGATGCCCTTCTGTTAGAGCAGTGGCACTTTCGTATCACCTCCGACAGGTGGGTCGCGGTTGTCATAGAAAAAAGGGGATTTTTAAGTTTTCACCTTATATTGAATTCCAGAATTTAATTTCTGAAACGATATCAACTTGGAAAGTCGCTCCTGCAATTAACATACAGTGGTAGGGCTTTGGACGCATTTTAGGTGGCATAAAATTTACAGGACTAGAGGAAATAGATTAGTGACAAGTTTGATTTGAGTGCACATTCACTGCTGATCACCCGTAGAATTAGTAAAGGATCCTACTTCAAAAAGTAGTAAGTAGTGTGCCCAAGTGCTCTGTCCTGGGCCCACTGCTATTTATATTTTATATAAATGACCTTTATCGTTGTTTGGCTCCTAAATACTGCTTGCCGTTTGTCGACGATACGTTTTTTAGTTCATTTGGTAAAAGTGCAAAGGAATTGTGCATTAAAGTTGGACTGTTGGAAAAAGGCTAATATTTGGTTCGCTACCAATTATGTTAAATTAAATTTAGAAAGACCGAAAGGATTAGTTTTCCTCCATGTCATTGTCATTGGTTGTTATTCAGTGGAGAGTTGGCATCAGTTGTTTGAGTTCCAAAAAACGAAAGGCAACTTTGACGCTAAAACGAGCAATAAAAAATTTAAGCAATCTATTAAAACATGATTTGAGGCGTTACAAGGCAGTGTAGCTTTCACTCATTCTAGACATATTTTTTTTATGTATTATAAGGTCATGTTAATTTTGTTATGCCTTTTAATATTTTATGACTAGCTACAATTGTACATTTTTTGTATGAAACGTAGTCAATAAATAAATAATAATACATATCTTGGTATAGTTTCTTCTACACGCTTCAGCAGTATGTATTCTATCGCATGCAAACCAGGCTATAGGCACTGTACTGAGCTTATCATCTAAAGGGAAAATTGTTCCATTTTATTGCAACAAAAAATTTCAATGCTCAATCGTGCTATCACTTACAAACTGCCATCCTGTGTGATCAGGTAACCTGAAATCGTCGAAAAATCGTCTAAAACAAATTAAGATTTTTGACTTCAATCGGACTACAAAATTTAACTGACTACTCTATTTTAAACAGTTGTTCTTGCAGTCCAACCCCTCTTATATTCTGGAGAGATTTACTAGTAACTACCTCCAGTCTGATATTACTTCAGCCATCAGCCTCGCCTACACTTTTCTCACAGATTTATTGCCATGTGCTCTAAATATACTTATATATTCAACCTCGAACATGCATTCTGACGCTTTTGTAACCAATTGCTAATGCAGACCTCAATGCGAGGGTGATAACTTGGCTAAATTTGATATTGAATAAACTAAAGATTCACATATTTTTTTGCGAAATTTGAATTTTAAGATGCTTGTGTTTTTATATAGGGATATTAGAGTAAAATATAAGTTTTGCACTACTGTTGAAACAGGTTTTGAAGCGCAAGATGTTTTCAAGTATTAAGTCGGAATGGGGCGAAGCTATTTTTTAGGAAGGCAATTTTTTTAGTGAATACCGTGACTGCACGTTTACTGGAATTTAATTTTATATTATTTTGAGTGGTATAGGTAGAAATTATTTGCAAATCATCTGTCGAGTGTCGTCTGCTAAAGGTTGAATGAAACCGATTGCAACCTGAACAAATCTGCTATCATACATACTCCTGTAACATGCCTCATGTTATGGAACATACATCCGATTTATTCTTCTCCAATACTACTTTTTAAGAGCGGTTGGTGGTTTAATTAGTTTCTTCAGTTATTTTTGTAATCGCTATTCTGTGTAATGTGCCAGATTTTGTTCCTTTTAATTCTAAGAGAATCGATTAGCTTCTGCTTTACTTGCTTTTATATTTTACAGACTTATTATTACTTGCAGGACTTCCAAACCTGTACCGTTCAAAGTCAATCAGTTGGTGAGCGCAATCCGGTCCCAACTGTACTTCTCTCAATTAACGGCGTGGCTGGTGACGCAACGGGACGACCCAAATCGCGTTAGAATCGTCCGGGAGAACCTGCGGTATCGACTGTGCCTCCCAGAAGGCGCTCTTGCTCCCAGAACCTTTTCGTTGACTGCTATTGAGCACCGGTTTCCTGCAGCGGATATCGGGAACGGAAATACGTTGAATGTGTGGTTCTGCAGTGCTCCGAGGTCAGCGCCGGTGCCGTCGTTTAACTGCGCTAACTGTTCTGAGGAGGCAAAGAGCGGCTCGAAAGAGATGGAATCTAAGAATGGTGTTCTCGATGACAGAATGCATACCATCTGCACATTGAAAGGTGGGTTTTGGAAATCACATAATCTCTTAAAGTAACTATGTTGATTACAGTCAAAGTAGAGTATTTCCCAAAGTATGTTGTCTTGGATTGACTTGTTATCAATTTATTTTAATAAAACCCATTATTATGCACCCAACACCTTACCTTCAATTTATCTGAATAACATGTTTGGCTGTAACATTTTTATTTTTAAAGATATCAAAGTAAATAAAATAACAAAAGCACATCCGGCTTCTCCTGTTACCATGGGCTGTGAGGAGACTGGTACTTCTCTCAGTTTAATTCACTCAGTTATGACGAAATATAATTACTCTGCATTTAAATCGCTTAACCTATAAGGTTCATGAATAACATAACGAAAATGCAGTTTTTTTGGAATTTTTAAATTGATAAATAGATAATTTAAAAAATATATCTTATGGACTGACGAAAGAAAAGGCTTTAATGGACAAAATATGCAATACTAGTCTATAAATAATCCTAGCATGAAATAAAAATTGAAGGGTAGCAGTCGGCTAATGTTTGGCGCGATGTTATAGACCCATATTTTGAGTCCAATACTGATAGTTCAAAAATTAACTGGAGATAATTATTTCCAGTTATCAAAACACAATTCTATCTTTAAATATATCAACACAAATAATATGGCAGCAAGATGGTGTGCCTCCTTATAATGTCATTTGGATGAAACATTTTCTTTCTAAATATGACTTGACATTAATAGACTTCTCCTTTTAGGGCACATAAAAAGTCAGGGGCGCAAAACTCCTTAGGATAATGTCGTGGAACTTCGACAAATAATTTCAGTGGCAATCAATCAGTCAAAAGATAATTCGGAACTATTATTAAATGCCAAAATTTCATAGAATTAAGTTTACAGAAAATGTATTGAACAAAATGGTAATCAAATACTCCCCCCCCCTCTCACCCAAACAAAACTAAATTTGGCGCACTAAATTACACCATCTGGTGTACAATGTGGTTAAATTAGTGTTAGTTATTTTTCTAACTAGGAAGGAAGGCGAGCCTCTTTTAAAAGCGCAAATGCAGAAATCTGTAATTAATAATGAAGCGAAAAAAATACTCTGCCTCTAAATCACAAATAAATATTATTCGTTTAAAGGCAAACACCGGTGCGAGGACTTCGAAGAAAACGATGTGAAGACAAAACCTGCTTGCGCGGGAGCCAACAAGCGGCTCTGCCACGCCACCAAACAGTTCGAAACCAACATCGCGCAGGCGTCAACATCTGACGATCGCGATACGACCCGACGACCGTTTCTCAGGCTCGACACCGACCGGACGAACGTAACCATAAACTACCTGTTTGATGTGGCCAACGACGAATGCCATAAGCGTGATCTCAAACCCGCCTCTCCGGCCACGCCCCCGGACAAAGGTCAGATCCTGTTGGACGCGATCGAGCGTACCGGTCGCGACTCCAAAGAGGAACCCAAGAAGAAGAGAAAAAATAATGCCGCCAAAGGGAGCGAGTGTAATAAATTCAAATGTGATACGAGCGAGCGTGATATAATTAAGGAAAAAAATAGTTTTAATATATACGTAGACAAAAATTGTGATAATCCGGTGCCGACCCCGGCACAAACCGCGGTTAAGAGGGGCGGCGGGGCCAGGCAGCGGATCACGTTCGATGGCGTGGGGACTAGGGAGAGCAGCGAGGTGCCCACCCCCTCCGAACAGGCCAAGTTCCGGAAGAGTTTGGGCAACGCTACTTCCATGGTGTTCCATTCGGGCACGGGCTTACCCCTGACCAGTAGTCCTGCCCCCATGCGGAAGGGCAAGTCGAGATTCGACTTTGACTCGTCGCTAAATTCGGTGTCCGCGATAAAGAGGTGAGCTTCTTCGATAATTCGGACAATATTTGCGCAATCACAACGTACAGATTTATGCGTAAGATTTGTGTTATTTGCAAAAACAAAATTTTCTAAATTTGCTATTACGCCAATGCGAACGAAAAACTGCCCACAGTAGATGGTGCATTTGCTGTGTTAATTTTACTCAACTTCACCATAATGTAGATGTTTCAAGAACCTATCCTAAAATAAACATAGACACAACACTGTTGGACTGTTAGCGGTGTGTTTAAATGTTTCCACAGACATCCCTCTTCTGAAAGCATGTCTCGTATTTACGATCACTTCATGATACTACTAAGGATTTCAGAATATTTAAATATTGTTATTGGATTCCTATTTTTAAACCCTCAGGATATTAAAGATTTTACAAAAAAAAATTAGACCAATTTTAATCTTATTTTATTTCTGCTAAATGATTTTTACATACATGCTAATTCTTATAAATTTTTTCTAGATGTAATATAACTTGGAATGTCCAATTTGTTCAATTCAAATGTTAAATACCTGTAGAACGACTGATTAACGAAACTAACCATCCCTATGTTCGGGACGTGTCGTATTTATTTCATTGTCTGAATGAACTAGAACAATTTTTTCTACAATCGTTTAAGAAGCATAATTTAACATATTGTTTGATGTAGGACTATTCCTAAATTTCAAAAAACTTCTAGAAAGCTCTTTTGTAAAATTGTAAAAGTAAACGAATTGCAATATGCAATACATTGTAATCATTATTTATTATTTTTACAAGCAGTAATACAACACTGATACTTGTTTCATTAGCTATATACAGGGGGCCCCACTGGGAACTTGGTTAATATGTTATGGGAATGAGTAGCACAAAATTTAAAAGTTTACGCCAGCAACTTACCCTGTTTAACAAATTTAGTAATTTTGATAATTAATAATAAAGGACATTTTAAAAAACTCGGGAAAATATTTTTTGTCAAATGAAAACCTCTTTTTATAATCCCTATATACATATATCTCATTCAAAATCAAAACTACTTTATGTTGCGTGTTCCGAACATTTATAGTTTTTGAGGTAGTGCCCTTTAATTGTTTTCTACATGATCTGATCTTATCGTTCAATTAATCGGAGTTAACTATGATGACCGACGGACTGGTCAACACCACCTCTACAACATAGGTTGGGAGAATAAAGCTGGAGAATAAACCTGCACTGTTGAACACTTTTGATAAAAAATAGTTTTTATTTACTAATATTTTTATTCAGTGCTAATAGTGTCATCTCTACTGAAGGTCCAGGGCCTCTCTATTTTACTTGATTATGTATGAGTTATTTACTCTGATCCCAAATGGAGTTACAGACAAAGAAAGAATTATATTTTTAAAATATCTATACATCACCTGTGTATGAATTTCTACACCGTTTTTATCTGTTCTACATATTTGCACTATGTTTTAAACATTAAAATATGTATGTTGTTGTCAGTTGTCATATAACGTTACGTTTTCGATTTGTTGTCCACAAAATTAGAAACCAACACTATATGCAGTTAATAAGATTGTAGTATCTTTGACTCTTTTTTGTGGGAACCAAATCACACTACAAAAGACTTAATTGTTTTAATTATTATTTGTTGGGACGCTAACGATTTCTTTTGTTTATCTATGCTTTTATTTTCTTTTCTATCGCGATTGGAAAAAGACCTTTTTTTCCAGCGCTCTGTTCTCGGACAGCCTCTCGATTGATGACGAAAGCGAAAGCGACGGCAGTATAGTGTCGCCGTGCAGCCCTGAGGTTTACGTAAGCCCTAAGGGCGCGCGACCCCCACTGACGTATCGACGCAAGGGACACTCCTCGAGTTTGTTAGGTTGGTAAAACATTTTGAGCGCGCGCTCGCGGATATGTGTATGTTGTACAGGACGACGTCAGTGTACGTACTTTTATATTATTATATTTTATAATTTTCTTAATTCAATTATTATATATTACCGGCTTGTTTTTTTTTATTAAATTATTTGTTTCTCAATACTGTAAGCCGGTACTTAATCGTTGTGTTCTCTTTGTAGTTATTGTGCTTATCAATTTGTCCCTTATCGGATTTTGGTTTCGTTGACAATCAGAGTTGACCTTAAAAGAAATTTTCGGATTGGATGGTTAGAGGAGGGTGGTGGTATTGCTGCAAAGGTAAAAGTAAACATATGACGGATGTAAATTATTTAATTGGTGGTTATTTTATTTGGTAGTGGAAAATAGGGAGAGCCCAGGATTTTTTTCTTTACTTAGCTTTACCAAGCCTGTTTTCGGAGGCTTATGGAATATGAAACCTTTTTCTTTGGAGCAATACATCATTGATCCAAAATGGAAAGTTATAGCTTTGATTGATATATACAGGGTTATTTTTTGCTATACGGTACGGAATATTGTTGCCAAAATACAAAGTTTTCTAAAGGTTTTAATTATGGGGTACGTGAAGCCCCATTATGTTAATTTTTTAATTAATTTTCATACTTTGCTGGTTGTCTCAACAGTGTAAAAGTATCAAAGTTGAATTTTTTAAGTGGAAGTCCATTTATATTGTAGCATTTGTGGATTCTAAGATCAAAATAAGTGTGAGTTTCAATAAGATTTTTGATAATTAAGTTCTAAAGTTTTTTAAATAATGTTTTGTTAAAATGAAATCTAATTTTATTTTCTCAAACACAAGAAATATTTCAATTATATCATATATTTTATATTCCAATTAAACAAACTTCTCGTCATATACAAGGTGGCTAAGAAATTATCCTAATCTAATAACAATTTAACAATCACTTAGTTAATTTCATTGAAATGACATATTTTTTAACGTACCGTAGGGGGCTATAATTGCCTACATTTGGGAATGATCTTTCGCGCATGCGCTACCTTCCAACTGACTAAGTTGCGACATTGCCGTAATTTTTCTGCAAAATTGATTTATTTTTATAAAAACGCAATATCAGTCTTTCAAATCCGGATATTATTGGCAAGGCCGAGCCAAGTTATTAGCTATTGTTACAGAATACTAGCGTCTGTGCCATTGTTGTTTTCATTTTTATTGTTTGGTAGTTATCTCCCTACCTTTTTCGTGTTTTTGTGAGAAAAATGCCCGCCCATTAGAAAACTTGCGTTTGTGGTCAAAATTGTAAGGAAAGAATACACGGTGTTGCCTTATGTAGAAGTTAATTGAAACCATTTAAAATGGTTTGCATAGGACTATTTTTCACAAACTTGTATAACTTCTGCTTCCAATGTCTTCCTTTTACGAAATTGCAGCAATATAAAATAAAATAGAATAAGAAGAACTTTTTACAAACTTGTGGATTCTTCCTGCGTCGGTTTTTGCTGAGTCGAACTTGCTGACGTTTCGCCAATCATCCTGTCGGCTTCTTCAGAGCTTGACTGAAACTGAAACGTCAGCAAGTTCGACTCAGCAAAAACCGACGCAGGATGAATCAGAAATTTTCTAAAAAGTATTACTGTGGAAGTTTCTTTGAAGAATAAGAAAGAATTAATGGAATACACTGTGGGTAGCATAGGCAATGCATTTCAAATGATTCAAAAGATACCTGTGTGTCATGCAGATAAATAAGATAGATTAGAATGACATGTTTTGAATTTGTTTGTAAAATAGGCAATAAAGGCTGAATAGCATCATTCAGGGGCAGGTATAATGAGAAAAGCCATATTTTTATTGACATGCTATAGTAACAATAATGTCGCGTGCGCATCAAAGTATTTAAAAAACTATTAAGGTTCAGGTATCATAAACTTTATTGAAACATAAACTTATTTTATTTGTAGAATCCAAAATGCTATAATATACAGGGGATTCTATTTAAAAAAAATACAACTTTCATACTTTCACACTTTTGGGACAATCCAAATAAAATGCAAATTATTTTAGAGAGTTGCCATAAAACTACTTTACACATTCTATAAGAAGATCAGTTTGAAAAACTGATAATTTTGCCACAATATCCATAACAAAAATCCACAAGTTTTCGCCATTAGCTACAGTATGCTTAAATTAAACTAAGCCCAAATAGCACAACGATAAATTCAACATAAGAAACATTGGAAAATTAATTTCATTTGAATTTTAAAGCTATTGAAACTTAGTTAAGTATATCTATATTGTTAGTGTTACAGTTACAGTATAGAAAAAGTTTGGTGATGGCGCAAGTGTCTTTGTTGGATACAAAAATTGATTCTTGATAAAAGCTCTGGACTATTTACCCTTCGTAAACCCATGCAGTGTCCGTGTCGTATAGCATGAATAAATCTGTTATACTTAAAACAGTACTTAATAACTTTATATAAGCCAAAACCCGATAACATTTAGCATCTACAGTTTTTCTGCTTGAAAAGACACTTACATAAATTTAATTAATTAATAAATTCAATTGATAGGAACGTTTGAAGAGTCCGTACTCAACGGTCGCCTGGAACCGGTATCTACTGTACAAGGATTCAGGGCAGAATTGGGAGCGAGTGGCTCATTCGTTCCCAAACACGCTATCTTGCCCGTCACCGTATTTTTCTACACTTTTTGCGACAACGACAAAGTGTCATCCCCTTATTTGGTAAGTTCTCCGCATGTTACTTGCTGAAAAATTCACATTAAAACCAACACACAAAATAATCAACAATAAGATTGTTCGCTGAGTAGTATGTCAACACAAAACTAATGCCAATGTGGAAATTACATTAAATTTTTTTAATTTTAATCCACATTATTTTTTGACAGATCTACTGAATCTGCACAAACCATGCAGTTTAAAAAATATTGGTGTTGTATATGAATGCCTTTATCTACTATCTAGGAAAAAAACAGACAGATTTGGACAACTGTTCAATTCTTACCCCAGGAGAAGTAATATTACAAACAGACCTAAAAAATGTAAGATCGGAGAAGAATAGTTTACAACTCAATATTAAAAAGTATTTCTCTATGTTTTTTGGTAGATTGCTTAATGTGCAAAGGGACGCTATTAATACTGTTGGCCTGACATTTACTAGAAATAGTTTATGATCTATCTCCCAGATTCTTTAGTAACTTTATATAATTTCATATAATAATAAAGTGATCTGTACCCCATCCCATTGATTAAAATACTTAAAAAATGTATGAATCAACTGATTAGAGAACCCTTAGATGGCCATGACATTTTATCCTATTTTCAATCTGGTTTTAGAAAATAGTTTTGCTTTATAGAGCTTCTGATATCCTTTAATCCCGCTTCCTTAATGTGTTTAGCTATTCCCCACTTTGCCGGATTACCTACACAAAAGTGGAGTGTCATCTGCAGGGGTGTTCCTCAAGAATCTATTTGAGGTCTTCTATTTTTCATTGTTTATTATTATCTTGCAAGTTGTTTTAAGCGCTACATTGTCCATTTGTATGTAAACAGGTCTATTTGTCTTTCAAGCTCGACCAACAAAACTACGCTCAAACAATCGTAAATGACGATTCAGCATTCTTTTAAAAACACAACTTGAAACTTAATGTGTCTGTGACATACAAATGCAAATCCAACAGACCTTTAGGAAATCCGGCAAAGTTGGGACGTCTTAGAAAAAGATGTCGGTTTTGCTCATTGGCGACGGTCGAAAATTCAGAATATTAATGCATCACATACCAAATAATCTTGAAATTTAGATATAGAAATGGACAATGAGGTTTAAATCCCATATAAAGAGCATCCAAAAAGCATATATAAATTTAAAAATGTTGTTCCTCGTCGCCATATACTATCTGTTCTGTTCCTCTAAAAATTAGACGTGTAGACTCTTTGACTTTAAGTCGTTTTAACTATGGGGATTTGCTTTATTGTCCGCATTTAAACAGAATTGATCTTAATATACAAATGTTGTACTTGAGATTTATTCACGGCATTCTTAAATAGAAAATAGCGTCCTACAAACTGGTTATCCATGCAAAATAGAAGGAAATTACAATTACCCGTTTGTCTCCATAACATTTTGTTGACTTAGAATCCTCTCTATATTTTTAATAAAATAAAATAAAATATGCTGCTGTTCATTCAAGAGTATGTTTCTCCCCTTCCTTATCAGATGTTATTCGAATATTTTTGCCTGTATAACCGAAAGCCCTTTGATTTTAAAGTTCTAAACATTCACTCTTTTAAAGGTACTATTAAAAATTACCAATTGGTCTAATGTTAGCATATGTATAATAATATCGCAATAATTCTTATTTGTTCTACTGGATTATATAAACTCTAACTAGTTGATATTACTTCTTTTTTCTTTGCTAACGTCGATACTACTTATATCAGTGGGCTTCTTTACTGTGTCGTAATATTCAATATTGAAAAATGTCAACTTTAATACTGTTAGAAGAACTTGGCATTTTTCTTTGTTTAAAATTCCAACACAACGTTCCAATTATAGCATCAATAGTCCTTGGAACAGACTAGGCGGATTGTTTAATGTACATTTCAAAATGTTGTTAAACGATCAGAAGTGATTTCACTTTTTATTAACCTTTATTCAACTTTGTTTATTAATTCTACTCGAACGTGACCTATTGCTTTTTAATGTTAATTTCTTATCAATTTAAATGCCACATTTCTAATTAATCTAGCTATTTACTACACGAGTTTTTCTAGGGCCACATAAACTTGGGAAGGAAGGGTTATAACGTGCCCAAAACTGGCACGGTACAGATAACACTGTTCAACCCGCTGGGCACGGTGGTTAAAATGTTCGTTGTAATGTACGATCTGTCTGATATGCCGCCCAACTCGCAGACCTTCATACGCCAGCGCACCCTCTTCATGCCCACCGGAAGCGGCGGTCATACTCCCGCGTGGGAACCCAAATGGCTGCGGTACCTCATACACCTCAGGTAAATTAGTAAAAATACCTAAATTGTGAACTTTTTTTCCAAATGTTTTGAAAAAGACAATGAAGTCAATTTTTTTTTTGACATATTACACAATTTCGTAGGCGTAGAAACTTGATGACCAAGTAATATAAGCTAAGTCGCCTTCTTTCTGAACAAATTAGCCCTACAGCTTCAAGAAAAAAAGCGTAATATAACCGCTTGAAAGGGTGATATTAATAGATAATGGATCAAAATGATGCTTCTGTTACCTACAACCTGAATCGCTACCAAGTATTAGTAAAGCTAGTGTGTTGCGGCTTTTGGGATCCAGGGCTATTTTTTCATGAAATAGAAACAGAAATAGAAGCTAAACTAGTTTAAATAAGTTTTCTTGTTACATAGGATATAATAGTGTAGTCAGCTTTCTGCTGAAACTCACAAATTTTAAAATACACACTAAACATGTTTTTTTATGGGACACCTTGTATGTGTTGTAATATTTACATTAGGTTTATGAGCGGTTCAACATTTGTAAAAACATTTAACACTGGTATTTCAAATACAAAATATATATATTTAATGAAAAAAGGTGTCTGTTTTGCTAATGTAAGAGAACAACGAAAAGAAAGTAGAAACGGGGGAAGGGGCTCATGGCGAGCGAGATAACATAGGGTTTGAATTGTCAGATATTTTAAAAGAATGTAAGACACTGGTTTAAAAGAAATAAACAATTCAATCGACTAATTCAATCGAGTAAAGGAAAATTAACGATCCGCGACCAGTACTTCTATAAAGCCAGAATATCTTCACCGGGTTGCATTCCGTTAGTTCACTACAGAAAAATATCAAGCTTGGCATGGGGCTACAGTTTTGCGAATGGCAGAATTATAATATTAATTAATTAAATATAAATAATACGAGATAACTACGCCGATATTTTCCCATTTCTGCTTTCTCTTCATTCTGCTACGGCTCATGTTAACCCAGAATATGATGGTTATGAGAAATAGAATATACGAGGCTAGAATTGAGCCTATATTATCAATGCGTATTTGATATTGCACACCCAAGTTTATTTTGACAACTTTTTGTAATAAATTATGTAATTTATGTTAAAAAAAAGATCTATGCTATAGCTAATAACAATCCTAATAAAATTATTAACAGATATTCAGGGCATTCCATTAAAAAAAAAACACAAGTTTAATCAATCTGTATCTAAGATATACAAGATGTGTCGCTTGTTTGTGGCATTCTAATATAATGAAAAATAACCTTTGTTCACGAAAAAAATCGAAGATATGTTTCAGGTAAATGATTTAAAGAGTGTCAACACTTAATGAAGTTGGCAACGAACCTTAAATTAGACGTAAAGAAACATGTATTTAAGTGTAAAGCTATTGGCCATAGAAATTTTGAATACTGAAAATTTGGCCATCAAATTATTTAAATACTACCAGGTACCCTCAAACAAAGATTAAAAAAATGAATACTTAAAACAAACAGAATTTTCTGCACGGACTTCGTGCAAGGACGCTATATTTTACCGTATATGAAATTTTTATTTATTTGCTGGTCAACATATTGTTTCAGTTGTTTAACGAGCCGATATTTTTTTATTTGCTGTTAGCCCTAGCAATTATATTATGAACGTACATTTATTTTCCATCTTCTCTTTGTCATATTTACTATTTGCCGAATTATTTTTTTATTGTGTTTGTTTCCTTGCTATAACGATTTCTTAACAGGCGTAGTTGGTGAGTTTGTTGAGTAGCAATATTAGGTTAGGTTAAGAAGAGTGACTTGTAAATTTATTTTATCTTTTCTCTAAGTAAAATAAAGGAATTTCAATATTATCGGAGCAGATGCTAACTTGTTTTTTAAGTAAATTAATTATGTCTAGAAATGTTCGTTCTCCTCTTTAAAAAGAATAACACTTAATCGCCACTGAGTCGAATTGTCGATATTTGATTTCTTAATGCGAGAGAGTAATAAAATGTAAATTTGCAGACAGGGATCATTAAACAGGGCGAACAACGTGCAGGTTAGTTTCCGATAAATTCCTTATTTCAGTTTTTAAGACCTACACACTTCGAATCATTGCTAAATTAGGGTCACGCCAATTTCCATACACTAGAAAGACGAGTTTTGATTAATGAAAGTAAAGGGGCGTTACTAGAAATGGTATTAGAATAATACGAATATAGATAAATTTGTGTATTTTAGTTATCAAGGTCCAAAAAGTCAGATGAACTATATTCGTCGGCTGCACAATGTTTCCTAGCATGTTATCGGCTTACCGCATTCTTTCTTCTATTTCAATAAATTATCAGACGGCCTTCAACATCCGTCATCGTAAAAGTGGTCATTTTACGCCTTGCTACAAATCGTTTCACTTGCGTCCATACGAATTCTATGGAATTATACTTCGTTTTGAAGCAATTTTGTTTCGAACAAATTTTATGCTTCATTCATTCATTTCATTGTTATCTGAAATTGGTTCTTATTTAAAGTAAGCTTGATATCATCTTTTCTCCAAGTGAGTATTTTTTCAGATTTGTTGACTGGTAGCTAGTAGTATTTATGAATATAACAAAGGAGGAATAAAATCTAGTATTTCATTGAATCCTAGCATTTCAGCTTTCATCGACAACAAATCCATTTTTGCTACCAATGTGAGTAATTATTAATCTTTTACATTTTCCAGGGAGTGCTTTTATTCCTGTGTAGTATCATTTCAGTATCATTTACCTAAATTTTGAATTTTGTCTTAAGGAAAATCCATTTTCTTCAAAATTTCTTCTTACCCATTTCTGGAATGAAATATCATTTTCATTTCATTCACTGTTTTATCCAAGCTAGTATTTTTTTAAAAGTAAAACGAGTGTATTTATTAGTTTCTTTTTTTCCTGTACTTCTCTTCGTACTTCGTGCACAAAGCGGTATATTGTGGACCGTCATATTCGAACATATACAACTCCGAATGTTCAGTTTTGGTTTCGAAGAACTTTGAACACATTAAGATAAATTTTAGAGAGTAATTTTTAGAAAGAAATCCGTTTTTCGTCAATAAAATTAAAAACACTAGCCACTTTCGAGAACGATTTTTGCTAACAATTGCAGAAACTAACCAAAATTAACCAAAACTTCTTCTCCTTTCAGTGCCTTTCCCTAACGGAGGTTGGCGACCACTTTTCTAAATGCGGCTTTGTCTCTGGTAACGTGAAACAGCTCTCCTACACTTATCTGAGTCAAGTCTCTGATGTTTCTTGGCCGGGGTTTCTTCTTTTTTCCTATGCCTTTTCTATAATAAGCTGCTTTTCGCCGTTTGATCGTAATCATTTCCTTTTTTGTTCTATTCTTCTTAACTCTTCCCCATTAGCAGTCCAGGTTATTTTTAAGGTTCTGCGAAACAGCCATATTTCAAAAAACTCTAATTTCTTGATGGCCTGAGCCTTGAGAGTCCAAGTTTCTACTCCATACAGTAGTTGTGTACACACGTAGCACTCAGTAACTTTAATCTTAGTTTAGGGCATAAATTTTTGTCGTTAAATAGTGTTTTAAATATTAAGAAAAACGGCCTCGCAATTTATACTTTAGATATTTATACTTTTCCACGTGCTCTACGGGTTTTCCTTGTACCATCAGCTGACCTTGATTGACTGTGTTTTTCGAGACAATTAAGAATTTAGTTTTTTCAGTATTTATTGCTTAATGCCTTGATTATTGTATCGCCCGCGAAGCGTATATTATTAATTATCTGACCTCCTATCTTAACACCTTCTTCTCTTTCCCAAAGGGCCCGATGAAATATTACCTCGCTACATAGGTATTCCTTTTGTTTCTATTTCGTTTATTCTCACAGCGGCTGTTTGGTTTCAGTATATCTTCTTGATGAGCGCTATATCATTGTCATTAAGTTGAATGTTCTTCAGTTCATATATGAGTTTCGTACGCTGGACTCTATCAAATGCTTTTTCATGATCTATGAAACATATGTAATGTAATGTAGATGTAGGCTTCTCTGGTTCCCATTCCTCCTCTGAAGCCAAACTGTGAATTATCTAATTGTTCTTCTCTATTTTGGATTATTTTCAGTAGGATTTTTAAGGGATGGCACATGAGACATGAGTCTGTAGTCGTTTCCTGATTTCGAATTGTTTGTTTTAGGTAGAGGTATAAATGTTGATGTTAACCATTCTGGTGGGATGTTTTTTGATGTATATATTCTGTTAAGTATGTTGGTGAGTGTGAATATATTTTCATCGTTCAGTGATTTTAGAAGTTCAATTTGTATTTCATCTCCACCTGGAGTTTTTTTGTTTTTACAATTTTTTAGGACGTGTTTGACTTGAGAGGTTAGTATCCCAAAACTTAGCGTTGTTCGTCTTCGTTTGTCCTGTCTATACTATTAATTCTATTGTCCTGAAATAACTCTGCGACGTATCCTTGCCAATAATTTTTTATATCATTCTCTCTCCAAAGTAGATTGTTGATTGCCTCTCGTTCCACAGGATATTTTTTGTTGTTGTTACCATTTATTTCTTTTATTCTCCTGTGCAAACCGAATGTACCATGATTCTTCTGTAATTCTTCAATTTCTGTGCATTGTTTCTTCATCCAGTTCTCTTTTGTTCATTTTTATTTCAAGCTTAATTATTCTATTATATTATTATATTATCCTTTTTCTCTGATTTTATATTTTCTTCAATAAGCACAAGAATTTCATAAGTCATCCAATTTTTATTTCGTTTTAATGGAAGTTCCCCGAGCATTTCTCCTCATTATAGTAAGGCTCTTTTCATATCTTCCCAGTTGTTCGTTCCTGTTAGTCTGTTCTGTGGATCTTCATTAAATCTGTGGATAGTTTGATCTTGTAGGTTTTCAATATACATCCTTGCTGCTTTTTGTAGTTTTTACTGCCTGTTCAGCCTGATTTTCGTTTGCTAGCAACGGGTGTGATCAGCGTTTCCATCTGCATTTTGGTAAGTTTTTACGCTTTGTAATGCGTTTCTAAAACGTCTGTTGACCAGTATAGTATATAGTCATTGTCTTGATAGTACTCCACCAATCTGTCTCCCCGTTCGTTCCTTGTGTCCAATCCGAAATTGCCCACATTATGGCTCACTTTTCCTTTTCCTATTTTTTGCATTAAAGTAGCACATGATTATGGTTATTTCATGTTTCTTTAAATTTCTTGTCAAGTGGTCCAAGTCTGAATAATTTATATAAGTTCCTCACTGCTTTCGCATGTGGGTGCGTATATCTGCACAAAATTAATATTAATCGGATTCGCCTTTAATTGTAACATCATTGTACGGAATAAAGTTTGTAACTGATGTTTTTAAAACTAACCAAAACTATAATTCTAATTTTAAACACTAAGGCACAGGCAGCTCAACTACCTATCAATATACGCGCTACTCGGAACCCTTGGTAATAATCATAGGTGTACAGTTCAATAATCATTTATAACTCTCTCGAATTGAGAAAAAGACCATAGTCACACTTAATCCCCACTGAATCGAATCGTCTATGTACTTTAATATCAATTTTATCTACTCTCCAGATTCATGAGTTCCAAATCGGGCAAAATTTACCTGCACAGTGACGTCCGAATGATCGTATTTCGGAAATGTGACGTCGATACCGCAACCGCTCACGATTTCGATTTAGACTACGATCTGCGCAGCTTCACCCAGATGCCCACCAACCCGAAATACTCGTCCAGAAAGTAGCGCGACGCCCGCGACCCCGCCCCCTGTCTGCGCAGGCGGGTGTTACGTAGGAGCACTGCGGCGGCAGCGTTCAGCCACCAGCGCACGCTTCCCGAAACCACTTCGTCCATTAATTTCTACGGTCGCGTGTGTCGCCTGTTTGCAGGTTGCTTTTTTAGTAAATACAGTCCCGGGGTCGCGCGCGTTTGAATCAAGTTTTCGCGTTTGTTTTAGCCGGTTAAAACGCACTGGAGTGAGGTTATGTTTGTGCGGTCGGGTTTTTCACAAGAGGTGGTTCCGCAATAGAAGCAAACCAGAAATACAAAATTTTCTGACTTTTCGTTGAATGTATGTTAGTTTTTCTGAATAATAAAAGTGAAATTGTACAAATATCATCTTCAATTAATTGTGTAAAGCTAACTGAAAAGTGGCTGAATAAATGGATTTGACTCTCCCAAACTTCGCTGGCACTGTCTTTCACATAATTGACCTATCTGCTTCTACTCTTTTTGTGACACAAATGCCACAAGTAGAGTTCGCCAAAAAATATACCGTTTTTACGACACCTTTGTTCAATTTTTATGAAGGTGTAACCGCAGGCCTACCTCGCTTGGTGTTCCAGAACCGTACTTTTTCATCGGGCTTCATAGGTGAGATTCCTCGATTATATTAGTTCGTGGAGTGAAAAATGAATTCTTACTTTTAAATGTTTATTATAAATGTAAATAAAGGAGTAAATTCAGCCATAAAACAATGTTAGAATATTTATAAAAAAAAAGGTATTTTACATAAAAATATATTCAAAAATATTTTAAACCCTTAAATTAGAAATCAGTTTAAGCTTTCTAATGTGTTTTTAATATAGGATATCAACCTATGTAATGGGCAGATTCAACTTGTAATCGAGCTCAAGCTCAAGTCTCTTCCGTTTTTCAACAGTACAAGAGACGGGTCTTACACGGCGGGTCCTACACTCATTCCGAAGTCAAAACCATAAAAGGTTGTAAAAACGGTATATTGTTGGAAAAGTATGTCAATTTTGATTTTCGCGGGTCATCAAAATTAATTGCGCAGAAGGAATTCGTACACGCAACCAAAGCTACAAGTATTATTGTATTATACTTTATATCGTGGATTACGAAAATAACTGCGATTGTGTACTGAACTCGAAAATCGGGAATTTCTTTTCGTAACTCAGCGAATGTTTGCGCCGTAATTTTAATGCAATTCATAACATATCAAAAATAATGTGAAAAAATGTTTGTTAACATAAACAACACATTTTAAAATTATCTTTATTTATTTATACGGCGGATGGTTTTTTTCAGATTTGTTTTTAAAATAAAGTAAGTAACCATTGTTTTGGAGATATTTTCGTAAAAATGAACTAGAGCCAGCAAAATATCGTAAAGAATAATTAAAACATATTCAAACATGCCTTTGCAACTAGCTGCTATAACACTCTGGGTCAACTCTCGTTGAATTTCATTGCGGGTTTAGTGTAGCTTTGTATGGTCTATCCCAAAATATATTGTTTACAGCATCATATATACATTTTCGAAAAACAACACGAATACATTCACTGACATGAAAGTCAGAATTGACAAACGTCAAAATTCAAAGCCTGGGAAATATCTCCGAAAGCACCCGAACGCTCCCAAACCCCTGCGGTAATTTCCCGGAAATATCCGAAGAGCCTTGGATTCGCGGGAAACGAAATTGACGTCGTAAAGTGACGCTTCTCGCACGCTAGATCGGTGTGTGATTAGGTATTTTACAGACGGGAGTCGAAAAACAAACATTTATAAATATTTCAGAATGTCAAAAATCCCAAAGGGCTCCTCTTTTTGAGGCATTGGTGTGTGGAAATATCAAGGTCTTGTCGAATCTCTTAGGGATAATTTCTTTGCCTTAACAAACATATGAGATCTTGTTGCCTTCCCACTTTTTCAGGGGCAGAATATATTTTACATGAGTATTTCTAGTCAATCAATTAAATTACATCTGTTTTGGATATGATAGTAAGTTTCCTGCTTATGCTGTATGTAAATTTTGATACCATCAATGTCACGTAATGTTCGTTAAAAAAAATGTACCAGCCCTGAAAAAAAAGTAATAGGTCAGTAACGCAAAATTATATTAAGCTGTAATAAACTGGAAGAAACAAAGGAAAGAGACAGGCGTATGGAAATGTGAATTAAAGTTACTCGTACTAAACGTAGTAATAGACATAGTGTTCCGTTTCAATTTTTAATGTCATTTGTTTCGACTTGAATTGTTAACCCTGCAAGTGTGTAAATATTTTTGTCATATACAAAATTCGAAGAACACACCTATGTAGTTCTTCATATGTTACAAAAAATTGACGTTCACGATTTGAACTCTATTATATATGAACAAGTCATATCTTAACAGGGCCAAGAGTTAGCTATAGGACACCTTAAACAATCCGGTAGGTAATTAAAAAATACATTCTCTTAATTAAGTTATAACCACTTATAGCTGGCATTAAATTAGAATCATTTTTGGGCCACCGATTGAGATATAAAATATAAATATGGTCTACTGTAAATTTAGCTTACATACCTTAAATAATTCTTATGTAATGAAGAAATTAAAGTGACATAACGGCTACATTTTGACAAAATTGAAATTATTTAAAAAACCTTAAGGTTTAGGTATCATAGCAGTATGGTAAACGACGTTTGCGTGCTTAATAAGCGGGTCACTTAAAAGTTTACCAAACGTGTTAGTTAAGGTTTTCTAACGAAGGATCTCGTTTTTAAAAAACACTTTTTATTTTACAAATAGAACTACGAGGTTTTATTTAACCCGCTACAAGGAGAACTGAACGCGAAGTACAAAGTTGTTATATATATAAAGTTTTTATGCAAGCGTCGCGTCGCAGATACTGGGAATACTGAAGCTAGCATTTTATCAGCATATTCTATCACATAATTTGTTGTATACTATACTTTTTCGACAACCATTAGTTTTTGGGTAAAGACATGACCGTCAGAATTGATAAACGTCCAAAATTCAAGCCGTGGGAAGTATCTCCAAATACATCCGATTGCTCCCAAATGGTGGTAATATCCCGGAAATGCCCGAACTGGCTCGGTTCCATGGGAAAAAATACAACTTTGATACTTTTAATACTTTTGGGCCAACCTGTATAGTATAAAATTATTTTAAAAAAATATTATAACAGAACTTTACATATCCCGGAGATAATACTTGTATTTTGGCCATATAGCGTGGATAACCCTGTATAGTATCAACAGGGTAAAACCACTGGTGCGGTTTAAAGTATTGAATAATCAATAATTTAAAACACAAATTATTAAACTTCTTTAATAAGTTGACTTTTAATCAATAAGAGTCGCATTACGCAAAAAAATTTTGAACCTTAACTTAACCTTGGTCAACTAACCAAAACTATGAAAGAAATTTTATTTATGATTGCCCTAAAATAGTACATATGAAGTTGCTGCGCTCACTACGGGGCAAATACACAGCAACCTATCGAGCCCAGAATGCTGGAAGCAGCAATTGCCGCTCTCGTGGAGGAAATGGTAGTCAGAGAAAACTAGCCACTTATCCTTCTATAATACCTTCCACAAAGTATAACTTTCCCATTCCTACTAGAAAGGTTATTTGTTATCATTTGTTTTACAAAGCCTACCTTTATTTTATCGAAACGAATAAATAGACCATTCAACTTAAGTTGTCTCCACTATCTATTTAGCAAAGACAATTTCGAAATAAAAATGTTTTTCTTCTTCTTCACTGAGACAGGGCTCATAGTATTCGCCAGTGTAATACAATTGTGGGATTGTAGCATTAGTACCGGTTAACGCAAGAAAAAAAAATGTAGTGACAGGTAAACAAGGATTTATTGAAATATATATTTACCACATACTAATTTTTTTATTATCGAAAAAGGGAAATAAATGTTCAAGCAAATATGAAGAGTTATATTTTTTCTTGTTCATTAATTAAAGTGACAGGAATTTCATTAAAGAATAGTATACACACAAGAGGATAACATATAAGATTAATAAGCTCAAAAATGTCTCAAACGAAAAACATGGGCAGGTCTTTACGAATCTCGTCTTTGATCTGGTAGCGTTCAAATTCCTTCCTTAGGGCGTTCATGTTCAGTCTATCATTTTCGATGTACACCTTTGCCCTCGCGGCTGCCAAATGAGCGTAATACGTGGGGGCAGGATAACTGACGGACCGATTACATCTGGTGAACATGTGACAAAGATAGTACGCCAGTTGCTCCACCTGATCGTTGTCCAAATGATTGTCGTCCCACAGAGTGCAGTACTTAGTGGGTTTGGCCACCCCCTGAATGCTGGCGTGCGACACTAGATAAAAGTCCTGCATAAAGGGGTGAGTGATCACCGTGTCGACGCACGTGCCTAAAAGAAGCCAAATTTAAAAAATGGTGATAAAACCTATTTTGATTGGTAGAAAACCGAGTTTAAGCTAGATTGAATAACCAAATTGAAAGCGATAACGAAAGAGATAGATGATTCTCAGCCACGTGAGATCAATATCTCACACAACAATACAGCAAATAATCTGTGATCTACTGTGACTCCCTCTATAGTTATAGAGCTTGATTTAGGTTCGTCTCTCTGACAGCTTAGGTAGTGGCTCGTTCGTCAAACAGATCAAAACGCACACTCTCATTAGACCTTCACATTGGCAAAGCGCCTTTGTATCTGTTCCTTAGCAGGATCAGTATTCGGTGTTTTTTTCCACTACCATTAGGCTTAGCCGGTACTAACCTACCATTATTCTTCCAGCTTTTCTTTTGCAACTTAGCAAGTATGCTGTAAAGTTGGCCCGATGCGTCTCTCAGGAATTCCTCGGCCTCTCTTTCCTGGCATTAAATGGGTTTATCCCCACTACATACGCATTGACAATCTTTCGCGGGCTAGTTGGTGGACACCTTTGATACCCATCACGTCACTTATTCTGATTTGCTTTCTCGTTTAATCCATTATGACAATCCAAAACTAACTTTGATGTTATTTTGCATAGCTTTTATCGGCGCTTGACTGTAATTGTTTTATTATGAACCTTTTTCGTCTTTATTTCCTTTGCACGGTGTTCTAGTGCAACAAACACTGCTCGGAACATTTACCAAAATACAAATACACTAATTGTCAATCTATAGAGAGAGACGGGTCTTCTTATACAGAAAGGGATTTAAAATTAAATGTCGCTTTAGAGTATATGAAATCTTTGTAAATAAAGTTTTTGCTTATTTTACTTAAAATTAGAAATGAAATAATTAAAACGACTGATAAAATAATTTGCCATCAACCTTTTTTGACCAAGAAAAGGAATATTTTGAATACATATGGGTAGAAATATAGTGAAGCGACGAGGTTCGAGACTAACGGCGAGACGAAAAACTTCAAATTGGGCACACCTCAGTTTTGGTTATTTTAGGAAGCGAACATCCTGTGCGTCCAGCCAATCAAAAGAAAACACCTCGTGAGGCTTATTATCCTAGAGAACGTAAGAAAGCAAAAAAAGAAAGAAACCGGTTTGTAGTATTCTCTGTTCTCCACATAAATAGACAGGAAACTGAACGTTGTCCCCTTATATCAAATCAAATTTTGAATCTACTCTCGTAGTTCACTTTGTCTCGATGCTGCTATTGCAAATGCAAATATCAATTTAAATTTCTTGCATATAAAATACAAGTTACAATTTTTTTTATTGTATTAACTCTAGCCCCTCAAAATAGCACTTGTGTGGGAAGCAAAACATGTTCACTAACGCTAAATCCTAAATCCCTTCTCTATATTTGTATCCCGAGGAATATTTCAGAAGACGTGTGTTGTTAGTCATGAGATTTAAACGGAATTAAAAATTATTTATTGTGAGCTCTAAAGTGCTAAGATGCAACTCCAGACACCTTTATATCTCCCATTCTTAATACAATTAGCCAGAAATCTCCCCAATTGCAATATAATTTTTTTTTATTATAATTTTAGGAAAAAAACTTATTCTTTATTATAAGTTATGCACGTTTTAAAATCTACAATACTGCCACAAGTTATCAAGTTTTTTCCAGTAGAATACGAAGTTTGTTAGATATATAAATTTTATTAGTATCTTTAAATTTGACTAACTTCAAACTCCGCATTATCACTGCCTACTGGGCATGACTGGGTTTATAAAATACTAAGTTTTTTGGCAACGCAACTTACCTACCGCGGCATGCCTGGCACTTTACGACAGGGCAAAAGGTAGAGCCGGTGGTTTAAAGAACTAGCTGGGTCACGGGCCGGATCTTAAGGGTAATAGTCCGAGGTTGTTATCAAGGGAAGAGAAGAAGAAGAATGGCTGCTGATGGGATGTGGTTTCTTTAAATAGCCGTATTTACGCTGACTAACCGCTTGTTCGGCAACACATTTATTGTTAACCGTTCGTTTCAATGACAATACACTAAATATAATTAGAAACCCTGTTTGATATTTGTAGCCAACCGTATATAGTTGGCAATCGACAACCAATTGCTGGCGGTTTACATTAACCTATTCTTAATACTTCCAGTATTCTTGAATTTATTGATTATTTTCTTAACAGTTGAATGAATAATATTTTTATTTTGAGATCTATTATTTAAAATAATTGCGGTTTCTCTATGGACTTTGCAATTTTCTCCCATAATCAAAACGATTTCTCTTTTTTATTCACCACTTGATTACGCTGCTTTTGTTGCTTCAAACATTCATTAGTTTGTCACTGCATCCTAGATTACACCGAACTATAATAAAATTTGCAATGTTATTGAACCTAAAAATACATTCCAAAAATGGATAAATTTTTTTCAATATAAATGATCAAATTTTTTAACATTGTTCAATATTGTCCAAATTAAAGGTGCTAGTAAAATTTATATTTCACAAACCTCGTATACTTTTAGAACATGCAGAATTTTTTGTGAAGAAAAAGGTTTTTTTCTTCTAAAATTGGTAACAAAAAAGCTTTAACATCTTTTCAACTTACCGAGTCACATTCATATCTGATCGTTTGGAGAGGAATGTTGTGTATATTCATGTCCGCGAAGGTTTTTGGTTAAAAATCTATACGGGTTTGACGAAATTGAATCAAGCATACTCCACTTACCCGCAGGGACATTTGTGTTCTTGTCTTCAGAATCCCTTGGATCCAATGGAAATAGCCTAGTGTGGTGCCGCTTCTGCACCACCACAAACGTGATCTTTGGCTCATAATCCTGTTGTTGCACTTTTTTGCAAGCGCTTCGGATTGCGCGTATCTCTGCATTTTGAACCTGCTCAAATTGACCCTCGGACACGCCATCCCTAAAAAACACGATGGCCTCCGGCTTGTGTTTGGTTTTGTTATAGAAGAATTTTAGCTGCTCGATCACAATCGCTTCCAAATCTTCGATGATTTCTGTCCGAGGTGACTGGAGCCGCCAGCAGATATTATATTGGAACGCCTTCGGGTCGTGGGAAGCGGTCACCGCCGCGACGCTGGGTATGGTAGTGGCATCAGGACCCGGGTGGGTTACATCAGCGCCCATTATCATCACGGGGCGACGCATCACCGGAGGCGCCTCGGCCAGCGAGTGGTTCACGCCGTTCAACTTGCTATTTACCTGCACCAATACAAAGTTGGGTATTATTATTATTAATTCACAATAAATACAATAAACAACAGGAGATAACAACTATAGTCGGTACGATTTGTGATGGCATAGCCGAAAATAAAATGCCAGACAGAATAAAATAGATTGTTTATCTTGCTTCCACTTACTACTTCATCTGTATGTTTTTCCGTCCTAAATGATATATTACGATAAGAGTAAGTGAGACAGAATCTGCCATTTTCTATGTAATAATTGATTAGGGTGTTCTTTAATAATATGCGAATATTTAAGTAGGTGAATCTAAATGAAAAAATTATGATAATTTGTTAAATAAATGTACAACGGTAAGGAGGCAATTTTAAAACTCGCAGCAATTATTTTGACTGTAGCATGTAGTTTGTATTGTAATTTTTGAGAATTTTTAACAACTCTCATTTTAGACCACTTAAGCCAATTAATAATGTCTTCTTTGCTTGTCGATGCATTTGGAACACTTTCAGTAAGCCTAGAATATATCATGCATTATCCATAATAATCAAAGACTGCTTTTCGAGTTTCGACAGTATTTTTTCAAAATGTAATTCATTTTTCAAAGGAACTTCCGCCGGCTACTGAGATAACAATAATATCATTATATAATATTGATAATAAATAATAAATAATTTAAAAAATTAAGTGCTCTGGATTCTAAAAATACTTATAAATAACAAGTCGAAACGATTTTTTTTTACTCTGTGTTATTAAACATTTATTTACCAGGATTATTTGGTTGTTATGCTACGTGAAATAGTGCAAATATGAAATTAGTGCTGAATTTTTATGTGTATATATAACATTTATATTTGATCCGGTGTCCCTTTTATCTACAAAATAGGTCTCGAATTTTCGTATCTATTTTAAAACATTATATTAATTTATCTTTAAGAAGCCAACTTATATAATATATATGTAATAGATAAATATATGTAATCGATAATATGTAATAAAGTACGACTTTAGAAGAGAAATTTAGTTAACTATTTCCCCCAATTCAGCTAGGTTTCTCTATATTTATTACTCAGTACACATGCGCTTTTTTATGGTGAAAAAACAGACTGCTATTTTTTGCTCCTTTTCGCCCAAAAACAGAAAACAATTGGTCCAGGGTCGTATTAGCAACGCATCCAAAAATTTTAACACAAAAAAAAATTAAGAAACTTTCTACAGGAGTTCAAAATTTACTCAAACTTACTTTTTTGGCATTACTGTCCGAATAATTTGTCCATATAATTTGCAGGCAATACTCTCTGAAATATGTTCCTGATTCCTCAGAAATTTATCGGACGGTTGAAAACTTATTAAATTGGCAAAAACCATTTCATGTTTATACAATCCATTGAAATTACTAAGGTTTGAAAAAATATATTAAGCGATAATTTTTGTTGCGGAGTTTTAATTTAATTAATATCAAATAGGGCCATTTGCGTTTTCTTTTCTTGGAAAGAAATTGGAAATTTTATCAATACCAACAGTTTTACTGTAAACATTCTTACCTTCAAAAGGATGTTGAGCGCAGTTTGGGGGTTCATGCGCCTTCCAACGGTGCCCGACTTAATGCATTGTGTCAAACAACCGACATTTAACTCAGCTGCTTGCTTAACGAAGGAGTATTGGGGGCCACTATCCGGTACCACAACGAATATGACAGAGAAGTCTTTGTCCTTTTGCCCTTTGAAAAAGTTGATGATCGATTGGAGATCCTGTCGCGGCTGAACGCTGACGAAAGGTTCCTGTGCGGCCGTTCCAAACCTCATGCCTACCTGGCTCGCGGCCTTAAAAAGCTGTAACGAAAACAAACCTAGCCCGTCACTAATAGTTTTTTTTAAACAGTCTTAGTTCAGCTCGATATTTTTTTTCTCGCGCTTCAAAATAATGAAACGTTTACCTCGATCTAAAACGATACTAAGGAAAACAACACTCAAATAAATGAAAACTCAAATCCATAAAAATGCGGGTTTTGCTAAAATATTTATTTATTATTTATTGTTGCTCTATCGAGGATAATTTGTGGAAAATATGAGATTCTAATAACTAGGAATTGTGACGGCATATATTGCTAATGAAAGAAAACCAAATCATGAGAGGAGATTTTTGGGCTGCTTGTGGAATAAAGACAGATACACCGGTCTGTTGGGTTCACATGCAAGTTAGTCTTTTGCAATGTAAACTTTGGAACCAAAACTATTGGCAAAACTATTCACTTTCGTCGTCCATGTTTGTTGTGTTCATTTACTAACAAGCTTTTACCTTTATTGGTGTACACAAATGAATGGCCTGGAGAAGAAATAGTTTTTTTGTAGTAACACTAAGGTTTATTTAAATAAGCACTTAATCTTGCGCGATGGGGAAGTACACATTCATATTTTTCTTCCAAGTCTGTGTTTCCAAATCTATTTGTAGATCAGAACAATTTTTACAAATAAAAAACTTCCAAAAGACAAATTGACCTAACTAACATTTTTCGCAACTTAAGGTTTTATTATATGGTAACGGTTATTGATAAATGCACACTTTTTTCAAGAACAAATAAATAAACAACTAAAAAGTGACATTTGCGCACTAATAATTTTCAATTGATTTCCCAGTTACCTTTAGTGCTATCACGGTTAGGAAGTTTTAATAAATACCTTTTTGGTAACTTATAAAACTACCGGTAAATTCAAAAATCACCTTGCATATTGTTATAAGACGTTACATAAGTTTAAATATTACTTGAATGCCTTTATAAAGCTATTAACTCTTTAAAAAGCGAACCTGGTAAACAGGGCGTCCTTTTATATGGTATCCATGGTCATGTTTTTTCAAAATGACATAAAAATGATGCTTAAAAACACTGCAGATAGGTTTCATAGTGGTAACGAAAATGTATTTCGTGTTGTTATAAAATTAAATATGGGACTAAGATTTGGCCAATGTTACGTTATAAGATTCTCCACTTAAGTGTTACAGGAGTAATGCAAATATTGATCAGAAAATAAATGTATAATTTATCTAGATGAAACTTGGTTTGATACGATCGATAGAGTACCCAAAGAATGGGATGTTTCAAGTACAAACTGTCAGACAAAAACATCCTCAAATAAAATCATCACAATAATTCACGCTGGATCGGAAGAGGGATTTATTCCAAAATGCTGGTTGTTGTCTGCGAAGAATACTAAGGACTTTAGCTTGGACTATTGGTATTGGTATAGGATTTTAAGGGCGCGGGCGCTTGGATTGATAGAAGTCCGGAACTTTTTGAAAACTGCTCTAAGGGACTACCAAACTTCTTAAAATCATCGAGTTCTTACTGCAGGCAGTTCAACGTCATACTCGATGTGAAGAAGAGCCGACGGAGAACTCAAAGAAATGGTCTGGCTCCGGAAAGTATTTTGGTCCCCATCGTTTTTAGCGTATACACTAACGATCAACTACTCCCTGACTATATGAAGCATTTTCTGTACGCGGATGATCTGGCTGTCACAGCACAGGAGTAAACGTTTGAAGACATGGACCAGAAGCTGAGGAAAGCTCTTGAAGAAATGTCAACATACCACCAAGAAAACTCTCTTGCCAAACCCGTACAAAACCCAAGTCAACGCCTTCCACCTTTGACAGGCCAATCAACAGCTTCATGTCTTTTGGAACGGCACTATAGTGGAACACACAAGCAAGTCAACTTATATGGGCGTGACTTTGGACAGAATACTAACTATAGACATCAGTATGATAACACCCACCAGAAAGTAGCCAACACAAATAATATCGTATGAAAATTGGCAAAGTGCAAGTGGAGCCAAACCTACCGCAGTTAAAAAACCGCACAACCATTCTGCTGTTCTACCACAGAATACTGTACAGCTTGGTTCAGGTGGGCCCACGCGCGGAAGGTTCACTTAGAAAGGCAATCGATGACCGCCATCCCCTGATTGGTGCGGTCCTGGACTTCTTAAATCTCGCGAAACATTTTTTAATACAGCCCTTGAAGCACCACGAACAAATTACCTTCAACATTAGAACGGGAGTGGCACCGGTGAAGCCAACAGATGCAACTGATGGAGCATACTATTTTACGTCTCCCTTCATATAATTGTATTCAACCCCATAGGACATTTGTGGCAGCAAAAACAAAACAATGAGAGCAAAAAATTTTACTCCTACTTTAACTACGAGTGTAATAAATTTAATTCAAAATGTAAGTAATAATATACCCGTTGATGACGACTCTCAGAGTGAAACATATTTAGATTTTGAATAAAAATGTATTATTTAGGTAATTATTGATAATTTGAACATACGTAACCAAAAATATTATTTGGGTTCACTCTCCTTATATCCTTATCCTAGCAAGATGAGTTCAATAAAATTTGTTTTGAAATGGTCAAATACCATTACAACCAGTTCAAAAGTCCACAAAAACTAGTTTGATAATAAAAAAGTGTAAACTGGTACTCACCATGTCAGCCATCCGCTTCAAGTCGTCAGGTCGCGGCCCATAACGGGGCACGACACTAGCAATGGTCCACTTGCCAATGACCATTGGCGTTAAGAACTTATCGTTGTGCCACACCCCTCTCCGAGGTTGCACCCGTGACTGCGCGTATTGCAATCCGGGGGGCATAAGTACCCGTGCATCCAACTTCTGAAATTCGCTACCGACCGATATACCAAACTCCCGCACGCAAGCGTTATTGTTATAATTCGCTCTCTGCAACCCGTTCATGATCTTTGACTTGCGGGTACCAGTGTCGGTGGCTGCATATCTAATCATCTTGCTAGTTTGCATCTCTGTCATCTTCCTATTCAATGCCTGGCCCTCGACAATAGTGCATAATTCCAAAGGTAGCAGAATTTTGTCAGCCCGTTGGTGACTACCCACCCACAGTGTAGGCAGATCCGGATACCTAGATATCAACGACTATATTCACGACATTCCGCATTCCAAAGTGGTGTTCTTTTGACTTGTATTGCGCATTCTTATGCCACTTTCGAAAGACTCGTCAAATTGGCTATCAAACATTTTCAATAAATTTTACACATTTTGCACATCGACGAGAGTAAAAAAAATTGACGATATCGAAAAATATTGTTGAAAAAGTTTATTAGAGCTAAAATAGAATATTATCAAATTTAAAGGTATTTTACTATTGAGTAAAATTTCATATTTATTGACACATCTCGTATTGGAAAAAACTGATATCTGATGATTGCAATTTAAATTTTAGAACCTGCAGAACGTTTTATGAAGAATAACTTCATTTCCTAAAATTAATAATAAAAAAGTCTCCCGTATGGTTCCAACTTACTGAGACTTATTGTATATGTTAACTAATGGACTAGAGGATAATTCTTATGGAAATAAATTTCAACTCTCTCATTACTTTTCGTATTGCGAATTTCAATTTAGGTTTTATAGATTTTTAATTATTTCTCATTATGATTTTTATATCCGTAAAAAGAAAAATTACGATTGGTTACCTTAGCTTATAGTTTTTCACAGTCCTGAAGTACTCCTCAATAGTCATAGTGCGTTCCTGGTGCTTAAACTTGGCCATACTGGGCGGCTTATCAGTGCCGTTCACTCGGTAACCACGCTTGGTACCAGGGTGGCCGGGTATTTCATAATTGATCCGAAGGGTTTTTATGAATTTGTCGAGGGTTTCCGTTTGGTATCGATCCAGACCTCTTAAATTGTCCACACGGACTTCTTGCCTTCCGGTGCTCAAGAGCTCGCCCAGCGCGTCAATCGCCCTAATCGCTTTTGGGAAAGCCTTGTGCGCCACGTCTACGTTCAACAGCGGCTTCCAACCCCTAATCGCCGACTGATAGAAGCCGTGGTACATTTCCATACCTGATGAGTCATTACTCATTTTTGCGGTTAATTCAGTAAAACTTTTTATATCCTATTTAAATTCTTAAAATTGAGTTGTTACTTAAACCAAAATTCATTTGCAATTGCAAAAGTTTCAAAGTTTCAAAAAAACATGGCGATTGCTTTTCTCTCTATCTCTTTTTTATCATTCTTCCAAAAAGGCAAATCGTGAAATAAAAGAGTCTATTTTAAAACCTAAGTAAAACCCCATATTAAGCAGAATAAATTCCGGATTACCATCATTTAGTCACAGATCGATCGATTTGGGTTAGACTTTATCACTTGGACTCCTATACAGGGTGATTCAAAAAGACACCAAAATATTATAATTGCGCGTTAAAATGTTATTCTGAATTTTATCATGAATTGAGACGGCGCTAATTTCATCGTACAATTTAGAAAATTTTAGAATATTTAATTCTTTGTGCAAGTTGCGGCACAAAATACAAGGAGCCGCGAATATAGAAAAGTTTTATCTATATTCAAAGATATTTAACAGAGTGTATTATAAAATGTATTGAGGTGCATATAGTGCACAATTGCAATATTTGATTTGAAGTTTGTTCCCTTACCATTATCAAAATTATTATTGTAAAATATTGGTTTTCACATTTTAAAAAATTATTTCAAAAATTAAAAAAATATTTGGAACTTTTTTAATGCAAGTCAAAAACAAGAGTACATTTTCTATAAAAAACTAAACATTCTTTCAGATTTTTATCCATACCTCGACAGATTTAAAAAAAAAATGAATCGATTTACCTAAATAACGTCCGGTAGTTTCCAAATAAGTTTCAAATTCAAAACTCTCTTGCAAAAAAAATCTAAAATTGGCAATTTTTATTATTATACTATCAAAAACTTATCGATTAATGAGAAAATTAAGAAAAAAATTTAAACTATTCTTTATGATGATATAATGTTGTTTTCAGGCTATGAGAGTTAGTTGTTGGGTATTCTTACGTCTATTTCGCACACTGACCTTATTACTATGTTACCGGTATTCATTCATATTCATTCACGTCAGGTGAGTATAATATGCAAGAATTACATAATGATGTTAACATAGAAACATCAGTAGCTGCTGGTTGCAGTACAGCAGCAACAATACACATAAAGAGCACAGGACTCTTTCAAATGAAAGAAGTAGCGCAAATCTACAAGATCTTGGAAAACAAATTACTGACAGTTTCAGGTGCAAGCATTCAAAAAATGACTATAAAATACACGCCTTCGGTTTTAAGGAAACCGAACAATTATAAGTACAACGTATCGACCTTTCATTTTGTATTTAACCCCATACCCTTAAACAAACACTCTTGTAATGATAGTAATAATGACCATAAAGGCACCTTACTGAAGGCGTGGAACATGTCACTGTATTTAGATTCAAAATTAAAGTTAAAGAATATGTTTAATGAATAAAATAGATTACTAATCAAGATTTTTGTATATCTTTTTTCGTAACTTTTCCATGGCACTGACATCCAATTTTGAGCGAAATTTTATTCCACTTGTTTATAATACTATGTTACACATTTTTCTGATTTTAATTTTCAAGTAAAAACTGTTTTTTTTAGATTCTTTTCATACCTATCTTTTTTTTTAAACAAATTATTATTTAAAATAATATTATTGCAATGCAGTAACACTGTAATATTGACCAGATTATGCTTTTGAAAAACTTGCAGAACCTCTAACTTAATCTCATTTTAAAAATAGCTCTCACACAACACTTGCATTGTCTGCATCCGCATTATCCCAAAAAATTATACCATACTGGATCTGCGACATTAACAGTTTCCTGTGCCCAAGCAGCCCAAAATATTCAACATCTCAATATATAATAATATAATATATAACAATAAAATTGTAGAAAATAAAAAAAGCATTACTATTAGGACAGTGCACTCTATTAAAAGCATTCCTTTACAATAATATTTACTCAAGGGTCGCTAAAAGGGGATCGCCACTTATTTTGCCCTCAAACTTTTTTTTATGGGGATATTTTTAATTTTTTGGTCAAAAATAATTTTTTTTAAATAGTTTTCCATAGAAAAGGTACTCTCGTTTACTTACAATCACAAAAACCTGTACAGGTTTTAAAGTTAGTTGAGGTTTTAACAAGTAACTTGATAAATAGTTAGTAATTTTGATACGTGAGAAGCTAAATATGCGTCTAACTGAACCTATTAACCATTAAGCCATCAATAAACATTCAAAAAATTAATTTGTACCGGGTGTCCCGGTAAGGGCAACCAGGTAACGTAATAGAGAAACGGACGGTTGGAGAAATTTGAAGAAAAAATTATTAAGTAAATCGACCAAGAGAAAATATTGGAAAATATTTAAAAGCTGAGACAAATTGATATTTTTTCATTTAATGCTGTTTACTTTATCTGTGCGGGCGGGGGGGTCAAACATATTCTTAAATAAATTTGCATATTTCTAAAAAGTTTTAACGCATCTTTATAAACTTGTAGTAGTAAAAAGGGCGTTTTTCAATTGTGCTATGAGTGACGCCACACCAGATTGCGTTTTCTGACATATTCGCAAACAAATTATATAATAACTACAACGATATGACGTTTTGTATGCTCTTAAATAGTCAAATAAAAATTTAACAGCCCAAAGAAAAGCGCATTTGAATATCTTTATCCTAACCTAAAATATGATTAAAAAACTTTACGCTAAAACAAGTTGTACTTATAATACAAATAAATTATCAAATAAAACCCTAATTTATTAATTAGAATGCCAAGAGATATTTCAAATAAAAACAAATTGTTATTATTTATGTTCATTACTTTTTTTACAATACCTTCGAAAGGCACCAAATTACCCTGACGCTGACGTTCCTACGTTTTAATGTACTTACACACTTATAATTATCACTAACTTTTTCATTAAAAATTAGTTTTAATCACTAATTTGGTAACTAGTCAATTATTGAACATTTAACTTATTTTATTGATGTATTAAGTAGTTAAAAGTAAAAACCATTTAGAAAATGAATGAAATATCTCATCTTTTGACAGCAATAATTCATTTCTAATTAATAAAATTGAAATAAAAACTAAATTTGTTTCTATCTTATCAAAGGCTCTTGAATGCCTACCATATTATTCATTTTAATTTTACTAAATATTTAACGCATTAAAAATGTTTTATTGAAATCCATCTTAATCCAGCGGCTAGAGGACATAGACGCATTAGAAACGAAAAAAAAAACGATTGTTTCAATACACATTTTACTATTTAAATAATTAAATAATTAATAAAATTGTCTTCAACAATTGATAATATTTCGTTCTTAATGCGAAAGAGCAATATAATGTAAATATAAAATAACAGGCACGTTATGGACACCTTAAAGATTAAAGTGTAAAGTTCTGATAAATTGTACCTTGAATCGTTCCTAAATTAGGGTCACACTAATTTGCATATAATAGAAAGATCAGTTAGTGGAATGAAACCCACGTGACAGCGGTATTGCTACAAGTAGTTTATTAGAATAAATATAATAATAATTATACATGATTATAACTAGAAAAATGAGCATATAATTGAAATAAGAAAATTTAAAAAAATCTACTGTTTAAAATAAAACTTAATTTGAAAATTATAGTCACGATGTTCTGAGTAGTTAGATAAACTTTTGTCATTGGAGAAATAATAAGGAACTTTACAGTGATTTTAGCATGTTATTTGCTTCCCACCTTCTATCTTCTATTTCAATCACGTTCGACACATTTACTCCATTTTTCACAATCCAGCGTCTAATTAAGGCATATCGAAATATAGAAATGTCAGGCTGTGAGGTGCCCTTCGAAAGTATTATAAAAAAAGTATTATAAACCAAAGATACATAATTACATTTTATTTTATTCTAAATATCATTTGCCGATCTAAATAATAAAATAGTGTTTTATTTGGTAAATTCGGGATAATTAGACATTAATAATAACCCGTAAAGAAGGATTTACAAAACCCAACTTTTTTTGATCGTTGTGTTCTTTTATTCATATTTTAGGTTAGGATAAAGATATTGAGGAGATATTGCGGGTTGCTGGGCTCTTATTAAATACAAAATAAATAAAAATAAATGACATATCGTTGATTATATCCGAAACACCATGGTGGCAAGGTAACCAATCGCAATCTAGTCACTCACAGCACCATTTATAACCTAGGAGAAGTCCTTTTTCATGACTCTATTTAAAATGCGTTAAGCCTTTTTGGAGATATGGACGTTTATTTAACAAAATGTTCGAACACCCGAAACTTTCTGTAACTGGACGTTTATTTAACAAAATGTTCGAACACCCGAAACTTTCTGTAACTAACTGCCACAATAGATTTTTTTGTAGAAACCGAGTTGTAAAAAAAATAATAATTAAGGCCCTTGTCGACCATTTCAGACACTCGAAAATAATTTTGTTGCATTCTCTTTTGTTCTTGTTTTTAAAATTCCTATGTTCCAATTGCCTAATACTTCTGTTTGCCTTCACTGGAACACCCGAGATATCTAATTAGCTAAGAAAAAATTTTTTTAAAAAGAATCTTACCCTGTCCCAAATCGATAATCTGATTGGGCTTGATAAAAAATGACCTGCCGACGGGCAGGCATGTGGCCACTGGAGCGCTTCTCAGTATAATGTCAATGCACTGGAGGGCGAGCTGCGGCGTGACCGGCGATTTATCCAGGTTCCTAAGCGGCGTCAGGTCTACTGTGTTAGCATATTTCACCTCGATCTTGAATGTCTTAGTGCGTCCATCTTCCTCCGTGATGTCGATGACGTCCTCGATGATGTCGTAGATGTTGTTGCTGAGCATAAACGATGTGATCATGTTCTTTCGACCATCGTAGGCCGGATACCGATTCGGGAACCGTTTCCTACGGAACAACTCGACCACGGGGCGCATGAATTTCTTGGGAGTGTCGGGTTGAATACTGACGTCGTAATGGAACACCTGGACAGACGAAAGGACACAAGTTATTATCATAATTAAAAATTCAAAACACAGTTTTTTCGGTCTTCGTTTTTAAATTCTAGTAAATTTGTAAGTACCAATTAAAGCAAACAGTGAAACACCCACTTTTCCTTCATTTTAACCGAAAATGAGACAAATTTTTGAACTGTGGCTGGATGAATAAATTAGAAAAAACAAAGTCTAAGCAAACTACTAAACAATTAAAAATAAAACCTAAATTACAAAAAAGCTGCTTTAAATTAATTAAAATTAAATTAAATTAAATTAAACAAATGATCCACATTGACTTGGTCTCTATTAACAAATACATTATACTAGTGTAAATAAATAATTTTCAATAGTAAAAGTACATATTTGTTGATTAAAAATTATTTGTCATTCTGTATGATTTTATGGGTATATTTTTCATAAAACAAAATAATCGATTTATTTAGCCCATTCCAACATACAGGATGTACCAAAAAACTGTACACTAAAGATAACTAAGAAAAAGGGGAAATATTTTGACCAAAGTGACAAGATTCTACGAAAGTGCTGAAAGGCCACAAAAAATAAAACATACGTATAAATTTACCTACCCAAATTTTAGAGAAGTAAGTCAGCATTTTTCATTAAGTAAGTAAGTAAAAAATTATAATCCCAACAAAAAGCAGTATTGAAGAAGTTCTGAAGAATTTAGAACGTTTTAAAACTTTAGTTGAGTCGCAATGGACCATCGAAGTTGGAAGTCTGGCAACCAAAAATTTAAACGCATCCACCGGCTTAAAACCACTAACAGAAAGCGTTATGATTTTGAGTAAGTTTGTAGAGGAAAAAGGTCGTGACGCAGTTGCAAAACTAGAGTTAATAAAAAACCAGGCCGACTACAAAAATATTAGCTGAAATAGCGCTCATACAGACAATTCTTCATAATAGGAAAAGAATAGGTGACATACAATACCTAGATCTAAATTCTTATAGAGAACACATAGAAAACGAAGTTGATCTGTCAACTCAAAATGAAATGACAATGGCTCTCTCTGAAAATGAAAAATTGCTGACTAGACATTATAAACGTATTACCGGTATAGGAAAGGGAAGTAGGCCTATTATGTTACCGAAAACATTGCAACAGTTTTATCAAACTATTTACAAGATCAGAACAAATACTCCTGATGGTTTGATTCTCAAAATACATGTTTTAATACATTTCCAAATTCATCAAGGTGGATAGATGGGTGTACTGCTATACGAAAGTACGCAAAACTGAATGGGGTACAAAACCCCCAACTACTAACGTCTTCTAGACTCAGAAAACACATCGCAACTGTCACACAAGTCCTTAATTTAAGAGAAAATGAAGTAAATCAATTAGCGAAATTTATGGGACACACCACCGAAACTCATGAACAGTTTTATAAGTAACTTTTCAATCGTACGTTTTTCCATAACATTAGAGTTTTGTAAAAAATTTTCAGGCTTCCAAAAGACGTTTACCAAATTGCCAAAGTAACTAAAATTCTTCAACTAATGGAGCAAGGAAACATGGATAAGTTTAAGAATTACAACTTGGATGAAATTGAAATTGACATGATAGATGTCCCAGACGCCAATTAATACTCAGACAAGGAGAATGTACCCTCAACATCAGGCACACAAAGTTGCTTTAATGATGAATGTATGAATAGTTTTCACCTAGGTATTTTCAGTACCCAAAGTTCAACGCAATATTTTGCCCCTTTCTCCAATAATAAAGAACATTGACCTCGAAAAAATTATCGCCGTAGTTATCAACTTTCGGATTTATCTGAGATCCGGCAATTCCGATAGCACCTATAAGGTGTCGGATACAGAAATTTATTTCTAAGAGAAGAAAGTTTAGGAAGAATTCTGGTTTGTTAAAAAGAAAAAAAAAATTTTAATAAATAAATGTGTTGTTGGCGATAGTAAAATATCGGATTCAGATACGGAATTGGTGGAGGAAGTGGAGCAAAATAAAAAAGCTGGGTGTAAGTCTAGAAAACGATTAAAGCTATTCTACTTTATTAAAAAAATCTCTTTCTAGCACAAAGAAAGATCGTTGGCACAACAAAATAAAATTATGCAAAAACATTTTAGGAAATATTTATTAAAAAACATAATTCTTTCGAAGGTGTTAATTGGGTTCGCATTAAAACATTTGTATTTAATACTTACCGCTATGTTAAAAAATAGTGTTAGGTAATAGTAACTTTATTTTCATACTTATATGTTGTTTTAATGAAATGCCTGTATTTAAGAGTTTTAAATGCGTGTTTCTAACAAATAAGACCTAAATGGAGTGAATATTTACTTTCCCTTTTAGCTAAAACTAAGCCAGATTACAAAAAATCACTCCAAAGAATTTTTATTTGTCTCGCTTTTGGCTTCAAAATATAACAATTAGGAAACCTAATAATTTATGTCCGTCGCTATCCTCTTAAAAAGTTGGTAAAATAATCACTGAAATGAATTCATTCGTTTTCAAAGATATCTTATACGCTCAGCCACAGAGCGCGAAATTGTGTCAGCTAATACGGAAATTAGCGTGAAATATGGCAATACTTGTGTGTGCTAGAGAAATGTAGTTTTACTAAAAATATATAAGTATATATATACAAGTGCCAGAATGGCAAAATATATATAATTCCGTTCCATCACAAAATACACTTCACCGCAACCTTCCAATAACAATAAAACCGAAAGCAATCTCACACTTGCCACTGTTGTCCTTCCCTATATTCATACATCAGTGACCACATATCAAAAGTTCTAAAGAAATATAACGTCAAAACCAGATTTACTTATTTACTACTACTTTACTACTCTTATTACTTATTACTCTTACTACTCTAAATATCTTCGATCGGTCAAAGACAAAATTCCGTTTGAGATACCAGGAGTATACAGTATTCTATGCTTGTGCCACAAAGAATACATTGAAGAGACCGGACGAAAAATATGAACTAGGTCAAAAAACACTTAACTTGAATACATTGGAGACACCGGACGAAAAATATCAACCAGGCTCAAAGAACATGAAACAGCCTTAAGACTAAGACAAATAAACTCATCAGCAGGATGATTGGTGAAACGTTAGCTAGTTTGACCGAACAAAAACCGACACAGAATGAATCCAAAAGTTTTATAAAAAGAATACGTTTTTCTGATCTTTCATTTTTCCAGCAACTTCTTTTAATTTAAGGTGTATATTGAAATTATTACATCGATTTTTGTAGTATTCTACTTCTTGGCATTGTTCTTCTTTTTCTTTTTGGCTTGGCTTGACTTAACTTCTTGTATCTTACTTCCGATTATAGTGTGAATTCTTTTATTCGATAGGGTTATCTTTGTTTCTTTTCCTTTGCTCCAAAACTAACCAAAAATGTAAATACGTTTTTGTTACCTATATGTTAATATATCTGTAATTAAACATAGTATCTACGTTTTTTTTTTTTAATTTTACAAACATCCAACTACAAATTTCCTTGGTTTGTTATGGGTTGTTGTGGGTTCACTATAGCTCACGCAGTAGTTATTGAGCCATCAAATTTTTGAATTATTTCGACTCCAATGATCGCGTGATGACCCAACATCTTAAAATCGCTAATACGCTTAATTACGCGTTTTAAATGGATTCTAGCACTAGTAATACGTTCTCTAAAAGTAATAGTTTCTTTGCACATTTTCTCATCGGCAGCAACACTTGCTGGTCTAACTAAAGTACATCTTTTCTTATTTAAAAGAGATTCACTTTTGCAAATGACAGGAATACCAGTATAAAGTCTAAGGTTCTTTTTCATAATACACTGGCGAGAAAAACACTCTCAAAAAATTTCAAACAATTTGGAAATAAAAATTATCACCGAATCGTCGGTCTAGTAGGTAATGAATTATTTGCTTTCAGACAAGTGCAAATGGAGAAAATTGTTATGTCAGTTATTGTCAGCATAGTTTCGACTTTTTATGAAATAACGTAAGTTCGGCTTAATTAAAAATTAGTGAGTTCCAATTAATTGTTCATTTATCTCCATAAAACTTATAATTGTTTGGTGCATTAGCTGTTAGATTAGCTTTTGCCTGAAATCACTTAGACTAGAATGATCACGAATTGAGCAAGATACTGTTTTTCGATGAGTTCCGTTTTGCCTCACTGAGTGAGATGGACGTTGGGGAGTATGAAGGAGACCTGAAGAAAGATATGCCCAAGGTTGTATTAATGAAAGACTTCCACATAGTGATGGTTCGGTTATGGTTTGGCCGGGAATCCGTTCGGTAACATGCACAAAGTTGGATTGGATCTGACAGCTCACAGATGCAATACGGAAATCCTAGACGATCATGCTCTTTAATGATCACTATGGACAAAGATGGCATTTTTATGATCGACAATGCTAGACCCCCCACTGCTAGAATTGTCAGTCAACATCTGGATAAAGTGCGAATTAGGCGGTTTGATTGGTCAGCACTCAGTCAAGACATGATTCCCATTGAAGAAATGCCCAAGAGCTGAGAGAGTTGCTAATGCAGAAATGGAACAACATCGACGAGAATATAAACCTCTAATTTAATTCAAAGCATGCCTTGTCGATTACAAGCAGTCATAAATGCCAGAGAATATTAATTTTCAGGTTTTCTCAATGTTATTCGTTTTTTTATTAATTAGGAATAAAAATATATTGGGTTTTGTTTATAATAGACATTTTCTGTTTTCCGACACTAGATCGACGATTCGGTGATAAACTTTTTTCTCCAAAAAGTGACTTTATGCGAATCAGATTAGGATGTTTCTGTTACTGTGGGACATTCAAGATATGTGTGTACATTTTCCAGTCGTCAAAGTTTTTTTGGAAGGTTTGAAATCTGTTTAACGAGCTCAGCAAATTCTATCGGCCGTATAACAGCTTCCACTTTCGTTTTTGCAATACTTGAACGGACTTGTTTCTAAAATATACCTTCTTTGTTTGGCATGCCTTGTTACATAATGGTGGCTGAATTTCTTCAGTTAAATATTCATTGGAGAAATATTCATGCTCTACCTCGATTACTTCCACTCTGCAAGTTCGAACTATTCGTTTGAGGGCCCCGCAACCGGCACTGATTGCAAATATTCCGCGATAATTTTCTAGGTAGTTTTCCGTATAATTTTCTGGGTTAAAATAATGCATAGTGCAGCAGTGCATATGTTGTAGAGGAGCTTTTGGAATACTCTTAAAAATTTTTTTGGTGTTGTACTGGACACATTTGTACATTTTGGAACAAAACACCACTTTGTTTTGTAATTTTAATTCCAATAAAGTTCACAAAGTTAACGATAAATCCATAACCGCTCAAATTAGATACATTATAGATACACATTATTGTGTAGGTACCTTAAAGCCAGCCGGCCAGCCAGGCGTCTGCTGTCTGACGTCACGTGGCCTAGCCTCGCGCCGACCCCTAATTTTTAAATTTTTACAGCTGACGTACATTTGAACATTTTGCCCGCAAATTCTTTTGATAGTTTTTCAAGAACAAAATCTATCGATTTCAGTTAAAATAAAAAAAATATTTAACCTACCTATTAGAACTAGGAACGGTAGAGATTCTGATTCTGATGATATACATATGGAAATAGTAAAAATTGGAAACTAGAAATAGGAAATTACTAATTGCATATATAGAACTGTTAATATACAAAATGATTGTTTAACGTCTGTGTTCTTTTCTATACCTGAAACGAGAAATCAAAGAGGATGCAATGAAAATGTGAACAACATATGGGAGACACACAATTTGGTTTTACATACCAGAGATGCTTTGTGTAGCCTTATAATTCTACGACACAAATATCGAGACCAACATATTCTTATTCTTACTCTTACATAAAATAGACAAAAACGGAAAACCTTTGCTTACGCACCTCTTTTAAATTACCCAGTGAGAGTTGTAAATGATTTGATTCGACCTTGATAATGCGCCCTTGCCTGCCGGGTGCAATTTTCACTTTTGATACCACAGCGGAATCATCAGAAGCCGCCAGTTTGACATTAGCCATGCCCTCAGTGGTTTTTTTAATCGCCTCAACTTGATCTCCAGCTTGTGCTGCGGGTTGGGTTTGAGGCTGTGGAGGTGTCTGCAGCCTACCTGTTAAGTAGTGGTAAACAACTTGACTAACAAGTTGGTGCTTGAAAAAACTCACCTGGTTGTTCATGCCATTGATCCTGACCTATACCCCGCTCCTGACCTCGCTCTTGAATTAACTGTTCATGAAAAAGTTTGGAATTTTTAAACACAACCAAATAAGTGCATATTATGTCTACCTGTGTTTCTACCAATTGTGGAGGCTGGCCACCCGGTGTCTGACTGTATACATCATCACCAACAGGTTGGTGCTGGGAAAAATGACCGGGTTGTTTATACCCTTGACCTTGACCTCCACCTCGAGCCTGACCCATACCTCGTCCCCGACCTCGCTTTATGACAAGAAAATTGAATTTTTAAACTTAACCAAATAAGTGCATATTATGTTTACCTGTGTTGGCATAAACTGTTGAGGTTGTCCATCTGGTGCCTGACCATAACCCACAGGTTGGTGCTGGGAAAAATGACCAGGTTGTTCATGCCCTTGACCTTGACCTCTACCTCGGGCCTGACCCATACCTCGTCCCCGACCTCGCTTTATGACAAGAAAATTGAATTTTTAAACTCAACCAAATAAGTGCATATTATGTCTACCTGTGTTGGCATAAATTGTTCAGGTTGTCCATCTGGTGCCTGACCATAACCCACAGGTTGGTGCTGGGAAAAGTGACCAGGTTGTTCATGCCCTTGACCTTGACCTCTACCTCGGGCCTGACCCATACCTTGTCCCCGACCTCGCTTTATGACAAGAAAATTGAATTTTTAAACTCAACCAAATAAGTGCATATTATGTCTACCTGTGTTGGCATAAATTGTTGAGGTTGTCCATCTGGTGCCTGACCATAACCCACAGGTTGGTGCTGGGAAAAGTGACCAGGTTGTTCATGCCCTTGACCTTGACCTCTACCTCGGCCCTGACCCATACCTTGTCCCCGACCTCGCTTTATGACAAGAAAATTGAATTTTTAAACTCAACCAAATAATTGCATATTATGTCTACCTGTGTTGGCATAAATTGTTGAGGTTGTCCACCTGGTGCCTGACTGTATACATCTTGACCCACAGGTTGGTCCTGGGAAAAATAACGAGGTTGCTCATGCCCGCGACCTTTAGTTTGAGCTCTTCCTTGACCAGCACCTCGACCCTGACCCCAATGCTGGCCTCTTCCTCCCTGCAGTGTCTATGGAAATAATTTTGAACTTTTAAGCTTGTGCCCAGATAGGCTCAATAAGTAAAATATAAAATAACACAATAAATAGTGAAATAAATATCAAATCAAAAACAGAATTTTAAATGAAATGTATTGTGAGGGACATTTTTTTAATTCTCGATGATAAAACCCTAGTTGTGTTAGATCGCAGACCATGTGGAAATTCTTAATATTCATTGGGAAGTATAGTCAAAATAGTCAAATGTTTTCAGAAAGGAAAATCTTGTTGGAAGATGAGAGTGTGATTTAACTGATGAAATTTCAGACAAGGTCCCTCCCTCTCAAGATATGAAAAAATATATTCCTTGCATTACTTTTCCAACCAATTTCTAGGTCAAGGATAGACACCTCAGATAGACCTAATTTTGGTAGTTTTCATTCTTTTTTATGTTGTCCAAGCGATATATAAGCTATTGTTTCTCAAGAATGAACATGGGATGTTAAATAATGACCCATAAATTTGGAAAGAGCACATATATGCCAAAAAATATATGTTTACCAAGTATTCTACTTCTAATTACAGCAATATTTAAAGTATTCATTATCACACTAGAATAATTTTGTTAACTGTTTGCTATATATAACACTACAGCAAACAAATGGGTTTTATCTGTACCTGTACTTGTACTGGTACTTCTTGGGGTTCCTGTTGCCTCCAGGATCCTTGCCCATGTTCAGGGCTGACATGGACAGGCTGCGTTCCCTGACTAGCCCTAAGACCTTCTTGTGAAGGATCTTGTTGAATAGAGCGTCCTAAAATTATATTACAGTTAGACCGAAACATTAAATGTAACTTTTAAATGAGTTAAACCAAAAAATATGTCTTACTAGTTCAGTTATCATAGAGCAATATAGTAAAATATTACCTTGCCCTAGTTGGGACGGCCCTACAGATTGGACGGGCCTTGATGTTGATTGTTCAGGTGGTGTCCCTTCAGTGGGCAAACTTTGCCCTGCCTTCTTTTTTCCTGCGGAATGGAATTTATTTATTATAATTCACTACAGTGTTAGCTGAGTCAGTGCTAGTTGTAAAAAATTGAAACAGACTGTCAACTTTGCCCCATCTCTTATTACCATTCTTATGTTTTTGTACTTTAAATTAAACTCTCTAAATATAATTTAGTCAAAACTGGACTTAAAATGTCTATTTTAATATCAAAATAAAAAATTTCATAATGTTCTACCTTTAGATTTTCCCATATTTATTCACAATATAATTGTCGAATAAGTCAAAAAATAGCAAATTTATGACAATGAGAAAATATAGCAAAACAGCTGTGGCTGCGATGCCAAGTTTACGTATTAAACCATAGATGTCAATAGTTATTCCATAAACCCTTATGAATAACTTCTCAGCTCTCCTCCCTGTTGTGGTAAATGGATCTTGATAACAAATTAAACGCGAGTTTGTCTCTGTCTCTTCTCTATTCAAACTCAAAGAGATGCAAATATATCAATTTCTTTAGAAAATTCTTAACCACATGTATAGTAAAGAAATTTTGATACATTTGAAAACATCGTAAAAACAAAAAAGTACGGAGTCAGTGTTAGCAGGGCGTGTGTAAAGCAATCGAAAATCCCCAATTCCCAGTTCTCATTCAACTAGGAATTGAATATTAGAAAAGAGTACAGGAACGTCATCAGTTCCTAGGCAAAAACCAATGTCATATTTGAATGTCATTGGCAAAATCATTGTTTATTTCTCATAGACCAAGGTACATTTACATAAAAACAATATGGCTATGCCTGACTTTATGTTTTTACTTCTGATTTCACGTTCTACTACCCGACAGTCCTTACAAAAAAGCTATCTTTACGACGACATATGCCAGGATTTTCGTCCAGACCAGTCAAATCAATTTCAAAATACATTCTGTGGTGGAGCATTGCACGCGGCGGTTTAACCTCCGTTCGCTCCCTACAGAATCCCTTGTAATTGTCCCGAAAAATTTTGAAATCGGTTTCCACTGGGTGGATTTAGTGTTTAGTGAATGTTTTAAAGTGATAATTGTCGTCGGCCCCATTGTTTTTCCCCGTTCACGCCGGTATGGAGGCCGGATGGGCCCGGATGGGCCCAGAAGGTCCGTAGTGGTAGCGGGGGGATGTCGGTTTTTTTTGGTATCGGTCGCAATTGTTTTTTGCTAGTTGAGCAAATATTGGTTATATTTCTTCTTTGTATGTGTTAGCACATATATCCTCGACGGAAGTCAGCAATGGCCGAATGGCCATAGTTGTCTTCCCCATCTGTTTGTAATTAGCAATAGAAAAAGAAGAACATTTTGTGGTTATTCTGTGGTGGAGCATTGCACGCGGCGGTTTAACCTCCGCTCGCTCTTAGCAGAATCCGTTGTATTCGTGCCATAAACCTTGATATCGGTATTTTTTCGTGGTATTGTGTTTCGGAAGTGTTTGGTGATCGTTTTTGAGTGGCCTCGCTGTTTTGACCGTTCACGCCGGTATGAGGCCGGATGGGCTCGGATGGTCCGGGGTAGAGGCGGGGATGTCGGTTTTTTTTGGTATTTGTCAAAATCGATTTTTGCTAGCTGACCAAATATTGGTTATATTCTTCTTTTACGTGTTGGTCTATTACCAAAAGCGAAATCCCTCGACGGACGTCGGCAATGGGCGAATAACCATAGTTGTCTTGCTCAACTGTTTGCAAATACCAAAAAGAAGAAAAAGAACATTCTGTGGTTCCAGAGATTCCTTTTTTGTCGGGAAACGCTGGGTATATACTTCGCCAAAGAACTGAAATTAGAATTTCTTTTAATTTTGCACATAGCTTCCGTAATGTGATCTGTGGTAAAGTGAAAGAAATTCGCATATGATTCGCACTGCATCTTGTTTGCGAAGTGGTGTTGCGATATTTTCGTAATCTGTTAACTAGATAGGAGTGCGACGTTGGATGGTTCGATTATAAATTAACTTTATTCGACGGTGTGCGGTCGACGACCATGACGACAGTGTATCTATGAATTTTCATGGTTTACGTTGTTTCGGAGTTTGTTTCGCAAAGTTCAATATTATGATTTATAAAAGTTAATTATTTGTTATCACAGTCAGTGTTTGAAAAGGTGACAACATGCGGATAATATCGAAGCATTTCCAAAGCTTCGCCAAAATGCTGGATTTTTACTCGCAATTTAATCCGTCCCCCTTGTCCATCAAAAAGTTCATAGATTTTGGTAAGTTTTTGTGATGGCTTTTATTGTGTGAAAATTAGCAAGATTAATATTAGGTGATTTGAGGCTTTGGCATTTAGATTTTTTTTGGCTAATATATTGCGTCATTTAATCGATTGATCTTTGAGGGTGTAATTTTAATAATTTTTCCTTACGTATATGGTTTACGAATTGAAATGTAGTTTGAAGCCGAGATCCTACTTTAATTTTATTGTTATCATAATCACAGAGTTTGATTCCAGGTTTGATTATTATATCTTCAGTAATACCTAATTGAAATTTTTTTTGCATTTCGAGTTTGTATACTGAAAAATATAGGCAGGCATTTGCAACCGCACCGAATTTTTTGAATGTGAATTCGTTTTCGTATTTCTAAAGTATCCTGCATAATGAAAATTGGGAACATTTTATAGTCGTTTCGGATTATATTTAATAGATGTTTGAAAACGGCGTAAATAACAAAACAATATTTTTTGAATTTTCCGATTGCCAGAATCTGACTAACTCGGTCGTAGGCGGTCAGGTATACTGTCTCTGGTCAAAGTTCGGTTGGTGCAAAGTGCAACTCGACCACACAAATGGTGGACGGGTTTAGACCGAGATTTAGTCAAAAAAAAAACATCTGCTCCTTTCGGAAAAATTATGACTTGAAGAAAAAGTTGAGGGTCACAATTATTCCGATATTATTATGGAAAGAGAAACTTGCTAGTTGAAAATACAGAAAATATTGGGAAAGTACCGTGAAATTTTAGAAAATAGCGGGGAAACAGAGAGTAACATGCGGCAATATATCGCACTTTTTAAAAATTACACAAGTCCAAATTAATAGTAAAAATCTCGGTGAAAATATTAAAATGAGGTGCTAAAAAAAGCTGACCCAATAAATCTTAATTGGTTTTTCAGTTATATGTTATATGTAGGTATATTTTTTTCGATTTTTGTCGGGATTTTGTATTTTGTATGCACGAGATGATGCGATTTTATCGAAAATGTTTTTAACCTTGAAAGTTGATTAAATAATGAAAATTGCTTTTTCATTGTTTTGGTGAAAATTATATTAGCCATGCAGGGTACTACTACGGACTTGGGAGACAAAATTATTGTTAAATAATCATCGTAAAAACCGAGGTAAAAACCATCGGAAACATTTTTGGGTCAAAAAATGGCCAGAGCTCGGGTTAGAACGTCGTGATAATTCATCGTATAATGAAACATTTAAACGATCGAAAATTCCAAAATTGCTCTATTGAAGTTTTAGAGAAACATCTGGAAAGTAGTCTTGAATGAATTTGGCTCAAGCATAAGGTGCACGAGAAAGCAGAATCCTATAAAATAACATAAGTCCCTATGATTCTTGTTTGCACACGGAGATATGAGTCCTAAAGGACGCCACTGGAAATTCGTTCTTCTTGAACAACTTTAAAATACTTGACATAATTTCGTATTAAATACTAACATTAATATTTAATTTATTATTGGAATTTCCTTATCAAGCTAGACCAAATTCGACACTTTTAAAGGGGAAACAGATCTTGCTAAAGAAGATAGACAAAAAGTAATGTACATGTCTGAGCTTGATTTTCATAAAAAAATATGGCGGTAAAAACGAGGGTATCCGTTCCAACATTATGTGTTTTTCGAAAATGTGTATTTTACGAAAATCTTTTTTACAGAGCATCTTTTTACCCAAAATGTAATGGCTTGAATATCATATTATATATAAATAATCCAACTTGCTTCCTAGTTCTATATTTTTCTCCACTTTCACAAAACTATTAGTGTGCAGTTGTTTCTGGTATTATGGTAATATGCTATATTTTTGGAAAGGTAATTTCAAGCACTTTTCAATCATTTAAAAATATACAGGATGTACCATAGGAAACATCAATTTTTTGATTGATAACTAATAACATTTTGTTGTGTTAATTTTCATCTATATTCTATAGAAAGGGGAGTTTTCCTTTTTCGTTTAGCCCACTTCGTACAAATTCAAAAGAATTTTTTTTTCAATAATTTATTTAAAATATTGTTTTAGGTCTTCATCATACAGGGTGGTAATGGGTACGACTTAGTCTTCTAGTATCCTCTAAACTTTAAACTGTTCGGTCATGTCTTCCACCTCAAAACTGACCAAAAATATTTGCATTGGGGACTAATGTTATCAACCGGTCCCATTCTTACTTTGTCTGAGGTTTGCCGAGAAGGTTTTATGTCGCATTTTGAATAGGATTTGACTTTGGGCCAAGGTCGATCGCAAAATAAACAAAAAAATGATGCCACAAACCGAAATGATTTTAGAAAATTGCAAAACGATTCGATAAGAAGATGGGCAAATACGCGTGATAGGATGCAAATCTAAGCCAGTTAGTGCGTAGAAAATTCAAGTAACTTTGTTGTTTAGTATTATCACTTATTTTTCCATTAATAGTTTAGTAGGTTTAGTCAACTAACCAAAACCAAACAACAGTTGAAGACTAACCAATTTTATTAACTATTATTGATTTTTTTTAATGGTTTAAATTTTCACACAGCACTAAGATACGTTAATAGGTAAAAAAACTAGTTAGTTAGTGCATCATGTCAGAAAAATCCACCGGGTAGCAAGGCAATCGCATCACATATATCATTAGGATATCACTAGGATAAGCTTTTTTAACTACTCCAAGTTTATTAAGAGGTGTGAAGCCTTGTAGATATAGAGTTTTATTTAAGAAAATATTCATATCCGCATCGATTTCCTTGCAGAGATACAGCAAACAGCATTAAACAAAAAATTTTGGAATTTGTCACCATATGGTTAACATTAGAAAAATTTTGTAGAAACCGAGGTTTTAAATTCAATAAAAGACTTTCGCCCCCCGGTGCCCATTTTAGGAACTTGAAAATAGTTTCCAGCATTTTTATTTGGTCAATTTTTGTTTTCAAATTTCTAGGACCATCTGTTTCCTTAATACCATATTTCGCCGCTCTCACGCCAATGGTGGAAGTGATTCCAAGAAAAATGTAATCTAGTACGTAGGGTTGTCAAATTGACGGGTCAAAATACTATGAAATTTAAATTTAATTATTTATATTTAATTAAATGGAGTCGATATTATCGATGGATCGCTAATTATCGTATTCGGATATTCCTTAAAGCGGGTTATGGGTAAATTGGACATCACCAACTTATTCAAAGTTCAAAACTTGTATTTTTTCCTAAAAAAGTCGAAGAAAATATGATATTTATGCGGAAATATAACTTGAAATTCTATTCAATTATACAAAATCGGTTTTTCGGTGGATAACTAATAAAATTTAGTGTGTTCAACATAAGTCATTTAATTCTGCGGAAAAAAATGTTTTCATAGAAACGAAAAGCTTTCCGTAACAAAACAGTTCTGATACATTTTCATCAGGTTTAGCCAATCTCCTTTTGCAAGGGGAGTACACACGGTGCTCAGTTTTTCATCGACGGGAACGAACTTTTTAAAATGGACCAGTATATATGTATGACTTTCTATAATAGAGAAATAACGAGACATGTGTCAGAGTCTAGGGAAAGTCACTGTGAAAATGATTGTCCATAATCAGGTCGATAGGTTTACCTATAATTCGCAGGAAGGTTATTTATTTTTCAATTTGTTTATTATTTATCGAGAATGTTTCAAAACTTACTGTTCGTTAACCGAATCTATCAGCATACATAGTTAGGAAATAAATATGAAATACATAAATGATATAAAATAAAAACAAATACTTTCAAAAATTACGAAACTGTTTTTCTACTCCGCCATGTTAAACTTAGTTCGAGTTTAATTGCAATTGCGGGAAATTAAATCATTTGAGACGGCATCCGCTACAGCATTAAATGCGCAATAAAAAAAATGGAAAAAATTATTCCACCGTTTATCGTTTGTTGTTTATGACGTGTTTATTGACACTTTAGCAGGACTGCTTTATTTCTCGAAAAACATTTTAGAAATATATCGAATGTTGTTTTGTAACCAACGAGGTGACGCATGCGAGTAATTGTGATAAGTGGGAGAATCGATTATTATTTATTTTACTTTCATGTCCCGCATTTGTCGGGTGCAGCAAGCTTGAGTACACCAGGTAATTGCGGTGGTTATGTGTGTCTCAAAGTATATCGTCTTGGCTTTTAATGAACCTTCCCCCAAAAAGTAATTACGACCTTCATCCCTATGGGTAAACCAAACAACTAATGCCCTATTTATTGGACACGGACACAGAATCGAGTCAGGTAGATGTGGGCCACGTGCCGGCTAATACCCCTGGGATTGTTATTGTTAACCGTTCAAGACTTTTAGGGGTCTATCTTTAATTTTTCTGTTATGATGAGTCGAGATGCGTATGAATGTTTAACAAACCAGAATCTTTACAAGAAACCTGCCTAGTTATTATGAATTTAAATATATTGTTAACAGTGAATTGTTGAATAAAAGCAAAACAAAGTATACTATGACCAGAAATATTGTGTTTTTCCAACAGACGACGTGATTAACTTTGCCTACTGTTTATTACTCTAAAACCGCAGCCCCCTATAGAACACCCTGCCGAGCAGACCCTTACCCGTAACCATTCCAGGACCGTTCCAGGAATTTATTTACCTATACACTAACAAGCTTGATATAAGCATGTTTTCAATATTTTTCGCCGAGCAATTCTTGAAACAATTTATTACGTTCTATTTAATTACATTTCTACATAATATCATTATTAATATACATAATATAAAGTATCAGTCACTATCACCACTTTCATCACCTACTCACTAATCGTTCTCGTTAAATATTATCTTCTTTATAACTCGTTTTTAGCTATATTTTAGCTACCTTTTGAGGAATTACCAAATCATCTTAATCGGGTTAAATATACAATGATACGGGGGTAATCTCAAGATTTCATGTCCGTTGTTTTTTACACAAAAGACACAAAATACAAGAAGAAGAATGTTGTTAATCGACAGGCACATATGACAAAAATTATTATTTTCAAACTTA